ATGACCCAGGAAGGATCTCTAACAGCTATCTGAGGAGTGGCCAGTGAAGTTATCACTAGGCTGTAATGTAAACATTGCATTTTCTCTGAATAGACAGTGTTTACGTTAAGAAGATTGAAGATAATGATTCTACTCACCAGAACAGATTCAATACGCTGTAGTTGTTCTGGTGACTATAGTGTCCCTTTAAGTTAATGCATTACCTGCCTTAATTATATCACAGACAGAGGGGAGGGTTTGTGTACTGTATGTGAGTGTGTCATTCATTGTCACATTGTTTTTATTGGCTTGTACACTTTGTGTCCCTGTGCCCAACAAAGTCCACCTGGGTGTCACCTTTGTTGGGAAACTTGCATAAAAGGCCAGTGTGCCTCCATTAAAATTGAGTTCCTGTTTAACCCTCAACACGTAGCCTTGTCTCGTGATTGGAGGGGAACTGCTATATTCACACTGGGGATTGCTATACTCTTTATACTCCCCTGGGTTCTAATCACTAGCTCTTTTAAGAGCTGTTCCTGCTATGCTCTCTAGAGTAGGAGAGGTCTTTCCCACACGGTCCTGGTTATCAGAGGTTGGTCCAGGGTGGATGGAAGACGGCGAGGTTCCAGTTAAGCTACGGCGGTTGTGGAGTCTGCGGTGCTTATGGTCCTGAGCATCAGCTTGGAAGCATCTGTTGGGGGAGGTTCCCAGTCGGGGTGCCAGGTGATCTGTTACAACACTTGCTCTTGTAAGAGTTATCTTGCTATGCTCTCTGGAGTAGGAGAGGTTTACCCACTGGTAGCTGGATCTTGGTCTTGGGTCTAGGGTGTGGTGGAGGACAGCGAGCCAAGGGGGTTTTCGGTGGTTATGATGTCTGGTGGAGTGCTTAGGAATACTCGGTGTTGCTAGGAAGCAGCGATTGCCAGAGGCACTCACTCTGTTGCCAGGCGGTCCACCACACACAACTCTCTCAAAGATTTTGGAAGCAAACAACAGTAGCGATATAGGGCGGTAGTTGGATGGAGAGTTGGGGTCAAGGTTGGGCTTTTTCAGAAACTGCATTATGGTTGCATGCTTGAAGGGTGAAGGAAATGTGCTGGAGGAAAGGTAAAGATTGAAAATTTTAGTGAAAGGAAGGGCAAGAGAGGGAGACAGGGTGCAGTTGAGATATGAGGGAATAGGATCGAAGGAACAGGTGGTGGGGCGGGAGGACCGAAACAGAGCAGAAACCTCTTCCTTTGTACTAGGTGCAAATGAGCATACTCCAGTGAATGGGGTTGGGTGACGTATTGGAAGGGGAGGGAGAGAGGTTAGAGATCTCTTCCCTGATTTAGAAATCTTCTCAGGGAAGTGAGTTGCAAAGTTTGAGGCAGACAGTGTGGTAGGAGGAGGGGGTGCAACAGGGCGAAGGAGAGCATTAAAAGTGTGAAACAGGCATTTGGGTTGGCAAGACAGTGTGCTTATGAGGGTGTTGAAGTAATTTACTTTTGCAGAGGAAAGAGCCAGAGTGTAGGAGCGCAGCATAAATTTATAGTGGAGGAAGTCAGGTGCAGTGTGAGACTTTCTCCAACATCTTTCAGCAGTTTTTGAACATTTTTTGAGATATCGGGTCAGCTTGGTGTGCCAGCGTTGTAATTGGGAGTGCTTGCTGCGTTTAAATGTAAGAGGTGCCATGATGTCTAGTTGAGAAGAGAGAGTGGAGTTGTAGAGTTAGGGCAGGTGAGATTTGAGATGGGTAAAAGGAGAGTTTTGTGGAGAAATGCTGGAGATCAAGGCAGTGGAGGTTTGGGTACGGTGTATGCTGATGTCAAAGGTCATCAGATGATCAGATAGAGGAAATGGAACATTGGAGAGATTAGAGGTGATACAGAGATTGGTAAAGATGAGGGCAAGAGTGTTTCCTGCTGTATGAGTTGCTGAAGTAGACCACTGTGTGAGGCCGAAGGAGGAGGTTAGAGAGAACAGACGGGAGGCATCAGGGCAGTTGAGGTTGTTGATTGGGATGTTAAAGTCCCAAAGTACGAGGGAAGGAGTGCTAGAGAAGAAAGTAAGGTAGCCAGGAAGAAAAGTGTTCAATGAATAGCCTCGGATGACCGGGGGGAGGGAGGGGGTGGCCGATAGATGATGGCAATTCTTAAAAGAGTGGGCTTAAATATGCAGACAGTGTAAACTTCAAAGGAAGTAAAGGATAGGGCAGGGAGGATAGGTTGAAAGGTACATTGAGGAGAGAGAAGGATGCCTACACCGCCGCCTTTACAATGGAGTCTGGGAGTGTGGTAGAATTGTAGTCCACGAAACATAAAGAAGCTGGAGTAGCGGTATCAGAGGGGGAAAGCCAGGTCTCAGTGAGTGCTAGTAGTGTGAGGGAATTAGAAATAAAGAGGTCCTGTATGGCTGTTGATTTAATATTGCTACAGATGGAACGGGCATTCCAGAGTGCACACTGAATGTTGGTATAGGAGGATAAACTGCAGGATATTTGAATGAGGTTTGCGTGGCATCTAGTTGTTTTAGTGTGCGCAGATAAGGTGAAGGGCCCTGGGTTGGGAGAGATGTCACCAGCTGCTAGAAGTAGGAGGAGAGATAATGATAGGTGGTGTGAATGGGTTTCATATGGGTAGGGTCTAGAATGAGATTGGGTGGGAGCAGGAGAGAAAGAACAGAGTTCAGGGCATGATATGAGAGAAGGGGGAAGTGTAGCAGAGATGGATTGATGTGGACATAAGGAGATATTTTGATGCCGAGGGAGAGGAGAGAAAAGAAAGAGCATTGCTCAAATGAGTAAGTATTTTAAGAAGAGCAGAACAGGCAGAAGTAAGGAGAATGAGGACTGAGTGTGTAGGAGTGTTTTGATTGCAGGTAGTGTTTGCAGCTGTTATTTCTAATTAATGTGATATGTGCCTGCTGGGGATGCAATCCACATACCCACAACTGTAAATGATATGAAACCATTTTGAGCTCTGGTGAAAAATAAACCCTACTGTCTTCAATTAGTATGCTCTTTGAGAAAAATAAATGTGGTGTAAATTATTTACAGATGTTAAAAAGATTTTATGCTGTTTGTGTTAGCTTTAGTCAACTGGTTGTTACAATTGAATTTACAGCTGCCAGTTTCACTTCTGATGTAATGTATGTACATTATCTAGTAGAAAGCTAAAGCAGAAGGAATTTATATATATATACACATAAAAATAAAATAGAAAAACAACATGTGCAAGATTATCATTTTGATAAATAAAATACTGAAACAGCTCAACTACCATTTTAAATTTTAGAAAATAATTGAGGGGAAAAAAAAAACCAAAACATATAATACACACACCTACTAATAAATTAAGCAGGAAAGTCCTGAATTTGGTTTCCAGATACTAATCTCTTCTGTTCTGATGCCCCTCAGTTGAAGCTGAGTTCTTGTCTAAGGGTCACTTCTGTACTATTCATACAACTCTATCTTTGTAAGTGTTGTGGGTATGGTATGGGTGATAGTTAACCAGCTTCAAAATGCTTTGACAGAAATGATGTGTCCTTTTAACAATGCTTGTTTTTAGTAGCAGTGATTGATGGCAAAATGGTAACAGCAAATTAAAGATATTAAGCAGCAATTAACATTTACCCTCTAATATACAATGGGGAAAAAACAAATTTTTTCTTATGTCAAAATGGCTGTGTAAAATTACCCTGGTGTCATTTTTTTAAATTTTAAAATCTACATGGACTGAATACAATAGTAATATTACATATCTGTGCACACTTAACTTACAATATGTTGAACACGTCATATGTGTTCTTTTTTGTAGCTAAAAAGAAAGGTAGCATGAGAGATCTGTGAACTGGGAGTTCATGGGCTGTAAAAGGTAATATAATACACATATTGCATTAAAAGTGAACTCCTGCCAAGGAAAGTGGCACTGATGTGTATATGCCCCACTTTAAGCTTAAACTTTCAGATAAGGTATAACATGAAAAGAAAATGAATTTAGTAAAGCTTAAATTCACTTAAAGTGACACTACAGTTACCACAACAACCTTAGCTTCATGAAGCCGTTTTGGTGTATAGATCATGCCTCTGAAGTCACACTGCTCAATACTCTGCCATCATGTATAAAAAGAGGCATTAATTTTCAGGATGAAAATTTAATTGTGCCTCTTTATAAAGCAATGGTAAGACTACACCTGGAACATGCTGTGCAATTATGGGCACCTGTTCGAAATAAAAATATTATGGCACTAGAAAAATTGCAGGCATCCTACCAAAGGAATAGAACATTTTAGTTATGAAGAAAGGTTAACAATAAGGATTTTGAATTCTCTTTGTCTGAAGGTAGTTTTATCAGAATCTGTACAGAGGTTTCAAACAGCAACTGGATGCATACTTGCAAAACATAATATTCAGGGACATAGTTTTCATATGTGGGGTAACAACTTCATGATCCAAGGAGAGATCTGACTGACATTCTGGGGTTAAAAAGGATTTTTTTTCCAAGTTTGTTGCAAAATTGAAAGCGCTTATAACTGGGTTTGAACTTGATGGACGCATGTCTCATTTTGGCCTATATATCAGTGTAAAAATAGCTGATCTGGAAAAATTCTCCAAATCAGCCATAGTAATAACAGCTTTGCCTCTGTTTTAGCTTTCAGAAAAGTCAGACTTTATTGAATAACCCTCACATACTTTGACTCATTAGTAGGTATGTAGTTGTGAAAAAGTGGGCTGGGCACACCTGGAGGTTTCTTTGATAGGCAGTCTTTATTTGGAGTGCAGAATAAAATATAAAGTTTCGGCTCTCCTATGCCTTTGTTAAGTCTGACATTGATCCACCCTGTTTGAAGCACCCTGCTGGAAGTGTTCCCAGGATAACTGTTGTGTGCAATATTCTCTTAATCTTTACATCATTAGTCTGACATATTGGATGTCATTTTGCCTTTAGTATTATGGCTTTCCACCACTAACTAATGCTCGTTCTTTTAGTTACTCAGGCTTTTTAAGAAGTGTATTGCAGTAGTCAAGAAAAGTAAATGCATACAGAATTTGTATAGTTTTATTGCATAGCTTTTAACACATACACACTGCACTTTAAACATGCACAATATTTGGCCTTTGGAAAATACACAAACAACACCTAAAGTGCCAGTGAAAAGACATTATCACTTCCATCTTCATACTTTTGGAGGTAGAATGAAACTCATTCTGTTTTCAGGTTAGATGCTTTTGCATCTATCCAAACTGTAAATATAGACAGAAGGCAATGCACAGATTTCATAAAATTAAAACAACAAAACATACAAAAAGATGAAGTTACTTTACAAACCACAAAATACTGGAAAGTAAGGTGCTTTCAAATTTCAAAATGGCTACATTAAATATACTTAAATAAAGATATAAAACAGAATTCTCTAAACGAGTTAAATTTTTTTCCATATGCAATTTTTTAGATGTCCAAATGAAGCTAGTGTTTTGGCCAAATGTATTTTACAGAATCTTCTGTATGATTGAGTTGGCCACATCTAAAGTTTCATCCTTGACCAAGACTATATCATAGGAGTCCATGTATTTTTCTAACAATTCTTCTACCTGAAGAAGAAAATAAAAAAATAAAAAATCCATAATTAAATCACTTATGTTACCAAAATAGCACTTTGAGAAAAAAGTTTTGAAATCAATATATATTGGCATTTCATGCATACAAACTAAGTAATCTCCGTTAAAACTGACCTGTTATCTTGCACGTACAACAAGCCTTAAAAAATAGGGGAGAGGAGATTTACTTATTTCATGTTTCCCTTCCCTTAGCACCACCATCTTCTTCCTAGCAAGCTGGAAGCTGCAGCACTACTTCAGCGCATGCATAACAGTATAAAACAGGAGTCTATAGAAGACCACGCGTTTGCTGTCCATGGTTTCAGAGTTCATGGTTAGAATAGAAAAATATATCATTGGTTAGAAAGATATGAGAAAAATCTTACTTTATCATTAAGGTATCCTATTTTGAGGATGTTTTCCACATTTGGAACTCCATCTGCCATAGTTAAATCCCCTAATGAATCTCCCAGCAGAATTATATTGCTGTTATCTCTCAAATGGCTGAAATACTCTGTATTCTTCAAAGCATCATCATGTTTGTTGTAGATATGTATTAATTCTCCTTTAAATCCATTTACAACACCCTGTAAAGAAAGCAATGCATGTTAATATATATGTATAATGCTTTAATGTGGATGTGTAAAGTAGAAAGATAAAATAAAAAGTACAGGTGGGGGGGGAAGAGGGGGGGAGGGGGTGCCTGGTATGCAGACAGATAACATTTACCAGAAATGTGATGGATGGATACTTTTACATATTTCTATCTATGCAATGATCATTGTATTTATTTCCTATAAAAAATAGAGCAGTTAACGGATTTAGTACGTATACCATGTAGTAGTAGTAGTATTTATCTTTCATGCCATTACTATTTATGTTGTTAACTAAGACTAAACACAAGCACCTATATCCTTGTTTAAGTATATTTACTGTGTGTGAGGTTTGTATGACTGATAATTGCATCTGAGGAGCAGTATTCTTATTAAGCTTACTATGAGGTGATGGTATTACATGTTCAATCCCTTAAAGAAGGAGGCAACGATCATGCATGTGAACCAAACAAAACCTAGAATCTGTACTATGTGTTTGTAACCGTAATTCAGGGATTTCAGTCTTTTTTATTTCTTTTCTTAAAGGGCAGAAAGGTATACATATAAGATATGAAATAAAGCCCTAACACAATTAAAAATAGGGAAAAAAATGTATACTTTTTTTGTTATACAAATAAGCTTATAGTGATTGTATGTTTTTGTTCCTGACCCTATAGCGTTCCTTTTAGCTTATATTCAACAATGTATTTTTTCTGTAATAATCAACAGATTATTCATATGAAAACTGCATATTAAAAAAAATATATATATAATAATAATAATAAAAAAAATAAATAAAAAAAAACAAGAATAAAATGTATAGCCTTTTGCCCAAAATCCCAAACTGGACCACCTCCATTTTTTATGTGTCTAAAGTACATTCAGAAATGTACGCTTCCTTACTTTTTAAATTACTATAACCGAACTTACATTTTCATCAAAATCCATAAAGTTGGACACAACTTTAACGTTTGGGTGGTAGACTCCAGATTGACGTATAACTTCTTCTAATACGTCTCCAAGACCCGCTGAGAAAATGAACACAGGTATGTTGTGATCATTGAGTTTATCAAAGAATGCTTCATACCCTTCCCTGAAAAAGATAAATTAAAAACGGAGAGCACATTTTAAAAGTACAACCAAAAATGTCATAATGTAATGATACAAATAATGTAAGATTCCAACTTGTGGCATTAAAAAAGAAGAAAAGAAAAAAAAGCAGCATCTGAAGACGAGAAAAAAGAAAAAAGAAAAAAAAAAGAGCTGAACCACAATGGCTGATATAGTAGTATGATAGCCATATTGAACAGAAAGAAACGGAATAAATGCATACTTGAGCAGGACGTCAGATTCTCTAATAATCTCTGGTAATTTGTCCTTTCGCAGACGCTGTTCGATGAGTAACGCGTGTGACTTTGTATACCTGAAACCAGAAGAAATGAATGTGGGGAAAATGCACTATATTCACATAACATGTGGACTATATTCTTTCTATTGGTATACTTATAAAAACAAGGCCTGTCTTGCAAGCAGCAGATTTTAGCAAATCACAAATATTCAATGCACAATGAGCCAGAGTTACAAGTAAAGCAATTTCATAGTGAGTGGCATTGCCTATTTGACTTAAAATTAGAAAGTATGTTTTAACAAAAGTAGAGATATTGTGCATCTGTTTTAAAATGCTTTTTTTCTTTTTTCTAAAGAGAGATATAGTCAAGATATTTATATTTATTATTATAATTTTAAGAGATGTATTTTGCAAGTGGCATTCAAAGTCCATAATACAGATTAAGGAACAGTAAACTCAAAATACAAATTTAGAGGCTGGGCCTGAACCGCATTGCGGACGGTGGTGTTGTGAGAGAGCTCCTGCTACAGCTTGCATATTAAGCACTCACAGCCCACTCAAGGCGCACCGAAATGCCCTTTACTGACTCACACAGACCCGAGCAGCAGAGCAGAACCCTCCAGGGCGAGCCACAGAGGGGGCTGCCCTGGGATACCGGTAAGGGGGATCTCCCGAACTGCAAGCCAAGGCTTCCTATCTGTGGACAAAGCTACCCCTTTGGACCAGCAGGGGTCATCCCGGTCCCCACCAGCCTATACTCACCCAGACACCAACCTGCAGACGCACACAGCTCACTCTACCATCACAGCAACCCTGACCAAAATGGCAGACACGCCATGTTCCTGTAAGCCTCCCACGCAGCATGTACAGTCACACCAGAACGCTGTAGAACGGTCCATGCAGAAATTCAATGAAATCTTCCTACAATTCTGGGACACCTTGGCTGTGAGACAAGTTCCAATTCTGACAAATGAAGCGGTATGTAGGGGTGGCAGACAAAGGGAGCCCAGGGCAAATCCGGGCACAGCTAGTCTGCAAGCTCCAGTTGCACCTACGAAGCACCCCCCTGGGATGGAGGCCATCAGGGGACCAACCACAAAGCATCTCTCACATAAGCGGAATAGCAGGCTTTGGCTCACCGCACACAAGCTGCCATATTGAATGCATGGAGTGTCCGACGGAGGAAACCTATGCGAAGCATTGAATGAACGACTGATTCTGGCATCAACGTCCTTATAGCAGGGAAAAAGGACTGTGTGCATGACGCTTTAGGGGGAGTAGGGGACCTGGTGCCATTACTTCGTTTTCACATGTTACACAGCTCGTAATATTCATGTTTATTTACAAACCTAGCTAGCCTGTCACTCTATCCACTAGCATACTATATATAAATCAGAGATGTGAAACCCTAACAAGTTCTTGCTTATAACATGTTCCTGCTGAGTTACGTGTCTAGATACCCTACCATCTTATCTATTATCATGCTTACATATAGCTATGACGTGAAAGCCTGACAAGTTCTTAATTATAAAATTGTGCATGTTTTTTCCATGTGTCCCACTGTTATGTATATATGTTGATTAGCTTGTGGAATGCTGTTGGGTCCCCTCAAGCATGTTGTATAACATTGCACAGCAAAAAAAATATATATATATATATATATATATATATATATATATATATAAAAAAAAAAATATATATATATATTTATTAATAAAAAAAATCTAAATTACCTATCTCAGCAAACAAATATGGGGATTCAACACCCCATATGGCCATATTGTGATAAGCCAACCACTACTTCACAGTACCCCAATAAAAGCTACATATGGCTATATGGTGGAACTGAATCCCCATACTTGTTTGCTGACATAGACGAGTTTAGGTAGCCTTACAGAATTTAGAATTTAAATTTTTGAATGCGCTGTTACTTTATCTATATGGTGTATACATTTTGGTCACTATGACAGCACCATTCCTGCAAGATGCATGGTCCGGGTGTGACCCCAATTCCCTTCTGCATTTAAAGAAAGATAGCCTCCATGTATGATATATACAGAACTAGTCTCAAAAAGACTAATGCAGTCGTTTTTAACCCTTGGTTAGGATACCAACTGAGCACCTATGTTATTTTCTGTGGGTACCAAATGGTTATGCTGGGCCCCAAGCATCTACGCAATATAAATGGTTTACTGAGACAAAACCTTCGTCAAAGCAAGCTGCTATGATAATAGGAAGAGTCTGACGTAGGGGTTTTGTAAAATCTTAGTTTAGTTGAGCATTCAAGTTACATGTACTAATTTCTTTTAGGGAACAATCTAGTTTATTCACTAAACACCAAATAACAGGATTTGTCAACAAGTGCTATTTTTGGCTGGCTGTTTTAATCAAAATGTTATCACTCTCCAAGATAATTTTACGAGTTACTTTTCTAATGAAACCAACATAAATATGGTCTCCATCATTTGGTATAGTGGAAGTTTACTAAACTGTGGTTCTGTTTTCATATTCTAATCCCCAGCAAATTAATATCAAGAGTTGATTATGAATAATTTTACAATTTTTGTATTACTTATTTTACTTATGTTTAGAAAACAAGAGAATGATTTTATTATATATTGCAATGTAAAATGTGAAGCAATCTGGCTCTGAAATGTTTACGGAGATATATATATATATGGTTAATGGTTAAACTTACCATTCCACCATGTATGGGTATTTTTCTTTGATTGTAAGATTTGGATCAATTTCAATAGCATAATATTTTTCTTTTAGCTGAAATAACTGAAAAACAAAAAAGGCACAACATGTGCCATTCATATAGATATGTTAAAGCAATTTATTTAATACTAACTTGCAGTTAGTTACTTTATTGTGTTGATATATAGTTTGAATTAGGATAAACTACTCTAGTAGCTGGTGTTAATTGTAGAGCCTGTTGACTACTTTTATGCACACTGGTTAGAAAGGATAAATTGTAAGATCAAAAAAGAAACATTGGGGTTCATCAAATAAAATTGGAATTGTGGAAAACTGACCCAGGCTAAGGCAAATTTTACACTAAAAAGAGTCAAACTGAGCACATTTTCCAGTGTCAGTGCTATTTTCCAGGTCAAATGCTTTTGGCTAAAGTTTGAAATTCTCAGTTTAGTGAATAGAATCTAAAGACCTTTTTAAAGGGGAGTAAACCCAATCATGTTACAATATTAAATATATTTGACAACTACTCACACTTCAAGTGATTATCCCTAAACAGTGACTTGTGAGGAAATATTTTTTCTTAAGTGGTTGACTTTTGTGGACTGTGAACACACAGATGAAAATGAATTTATCCGTTAAACATCTTCTTATTAGAGGGACACTATAGTCACCAGAACAACTACAGCTTATTGAATTTGTTCTGGTGAGTAGAATCATTACTCTCAGGCTTTTTGTTGTAAACACTGTTTGTTTCAGAGAAAATGCAGTGTTTACATTACAGCCTAATGATAACTTCACTGGCCACTCCTCAGATAGCTGTTAGAGATCCTTCCTTGGTCATTGCTGCCTAAAATGCATCCAAACATTCAGTATCTCCTCCCTCTGCATGCAGACACTGAACTTTCATCATAGAGATGGATTGATTCAATTCATCCCTATGAGGAGATGCTGATTGGCCAGGGCTGTGTTTAAATTGTGCTGGCTATGCCCCTGATCTGCCTCTTTGTCAGTCTCAGCCAATCCTATGGGGGAGCATGAGTGGATCAGGCTACCACTTCTGCTGATGTCAGCAGGCAGGTCTAAAGGAAACAGTGACAATGCAAGCAGCTCCAGGCTTGAATACAAGTAAGATTTTACAATATTTAGGGAGGCATGAGGGGACCAGGGTGGCTAGATGGTGGTTTTAACCCTATGGGGTCAGGAATACAGGTTTGTGTTCCTGACCCTATAGTGCTCCTTCAATGTGGTCACAATCCATAAGAATCCATTACTTGTGATAAATTCAATTCGAGAAAGGATGTGCAACACCGCAATGGTTATAAATTGCCAGGTACCACAAACTCACAGATGAAAATAAATGTATCCGTAAATATAGATAGCTTTTCTCTGTTCATCATCCAGAGAAAACAAACAAAAAAAAAAGTATTTAGATACAATATGAAGTTACAGCTCTTTAATTTGCTTAAAGGACCACTATAGGCACCCAGACCACTTCAGCTTAATGAAGTGGTCTGGGTGCCAGGTCCAGCTAGGGTTAACCCCCCCTTTTTTTTTTTTTTTTTTTATAAACATAGCAGTTTCAGAGAAACTGCTATGTTTATAATATGGTTAAGCCAGCCTCTAGTGGCTGTCTCATTGACAGCCGCTAGAGGCGCTTGCGTGCTTCTCACTGTGAAAATCACAGTGAGAAGACTCCAGCGTCCATAGGAAAGCATTGTACGTCGCTATGAAGGAGGAGAGGAGGAGGAGAGTGCCCCGCCCGGCGCTGGAGAAAGGTAAGATTTTAACCCCTTCCTCTCCCCAGAGCCCAGCGGGAGGGGGACCCTGAGGGCACTAAAGTGGGAGGAAAACGAGTATGTTTTCCTGGCACTATAGTGGTCCTTTAAGTGCTTTAGGTGTGAAGAGTAAGTTTTCTTTTATTTAAAGTTTTACATAAAGTACAGATTTCAATAGAAACTGGCACTTTTATATATTAACCTGGTTGTACCCACTGGATGTCCGACAACTGGTCCTGCTACTTCCTGGGTTGTCTAGTTCGGGGGAGCTAAGCTCAAGAGGCAGGCAATTGCCCTGAGCACCTGCCTTGTGAAGACTGAGCTGCATCGGAAAGTCTGATTAGACAACCACAGAAAGACTATGCTGAAGAAAAAGGGGAGGGCTTGCAAACACTGCAAACGAATGCGTATTTTTATTGGGGGTATACCTACTAAATTGTTAATAAAAATCCATTGGAGTAACCACTAAAGGAGGAATATATATATATATATATATATATATATATATATATATATATATATATATATATATATATACATATATATATATACACACACACACACACACACACACACACACACATACAGTAAAATATACTGTTCAATAGCCTAACAACCAAAGCTTTGTATGGATCAGTGCAGAAAAGGCATAGAAAGAGGTAGAATAAGATTTGTTTTAGTTATTACAATAAATTCTACCTAAAAACAATAATGTATCATAAGGAAAAACAGACTCAGCTAAACTTATTTGTTAGTGTAACTACACAACATAATAGGGCACTTCTCTGATTAATGTAAGCATTACTGCATTGAACATATGACTTGTCCATTAGAAGTAAGATAGCAGTTTTTTGGGGGTAAGATAGTAGTTCACATTCCCTGGTTACAATTTTCAGGGCACATTTTCATTTTCAATAAAACATTTACGCAGCTGTGAAGATATACTGGAGAAGACAATGCTGTTTCCAATATTTACAGGCTCTTTTGTTTTATTTGTTGTTATATATCAAATTGCATATATATTTTTCAGTGCAGTATAATGTAAACAACTCTAGAGTACTTTCAGATAAATGACAAACCTTTTTTCGACATTCATCGGTTACAAATTTGCAGTTGTCAATAACATCTGTTATGGTTAAAGAGAATAAAATAATACAATTAACACAATTCTATTTATTTATATATATATATATATATACACACACATATATATATATATATATATATATATATATATATATATATATATGTGTGTGTATATATATATATATATATAAAAAATGTTCTTTAAAAAATAAACACATTCTTGTTCTTTTCTTGTCATAGTGGGTGTAAATTAGAATCTATACAATTTGTATATCAGAATAATTACATAAAAAAGGAGAATCCTGAATTAATGCAAGCAAGATCCATTGACATGTGCATCATAGCAACCTAAGACTTATATGTTTGACAAGAGATATGACCTGCAGAAGCAGTATATCAGTGTAAATTTGACATTTGCCTTCGCAGAGGCTTATTATGTGTGATCTCTGATGCTGTTGAGATCGGCATATTTAATGGGATTCCCACGCAGGGGAGTGTTCATATGTCTAGTACTTATTTTGTGGTTTAGTTACAGCTCGTTTTTCGACATATTCATGTTGATAATTAGGCTCGTTGTCAATGACGTGGGTTAGGGCATGCGTTTTTTTGTGTAGTGTTGAATGGTGTATCGTTCCATTGTTGTGGTGTGGTTTTTCTGGCAGGTGATTAGGTTTGTGTGGAGTGAGTGCTTGTTGTGTCTCAGGGTTTACTGGGTGTCACCTGTGGATCATCCTCTGTCTATTGTTAGTGTGTGACGCGTAGGCGTGGGGTTAAGTCTATGGGGTAGGTCGGTCTGGTCTGTCAGGGGTTGTCCTGTGATATCTTGTGGTCTACGTTAGCAGACATGGAGGAGTGGGTTCTGAGTGTTAGGGTTGGGTTAGTTAGAAGATGAGGGAAAGGGGGGGGGGCAGGGAGTGAAAAGTGTGAGAAAGGAGGAAGAGAAAGAAAGGAAAGAAGAGAAAGAGAAAGAAAAAAAAAAAAAAGGAGAGGGGGGAGAGGTCATCGCCCCAGCCCACAACGCCCCACGAACCCCCTCTAACTAAAAGTGTCCATTGTTCAGGGTAGAATATTAAATTCTTGGCCACAGTGTAGCATTCTCAGAGTCAAACTAAATTAAACGCACTTGCATGTAAACTATACATCAACATATTAATATATCCCTCATGGAATACACTAGACAATGTAAAAATAAGTAAATAAAAAACCTCTCCTAGTTAACACAAAGGTGAATGTAGTTGAAAAGTGCTTCAGAAGAATCTGAAGGTGCTCCAACAGCTCATGCATCTTCAGCAGTGCAGATTTCAGAATTTGAGCATGAGAAGGAAATGCATTACAAGAGGAACAGCCTCAGGTCTCGCAACCATCTTAGTTTTGTCTGAAAAGTCCAAATTAGTGAGTCCTGTCCAACTTTCTCAATTACTTCTCTGGTGCACATGCAATATTAGATGAGCTTGCGCTATGCTCAGGGCACCAGGACGCTGCATAGTGTACTGAAACACTGCTACCTGCTTTATGTGTGCCAGCCTACTTTATTGGCAGGCAGTATGTTTTGCCTTCACACCAGGGTGACCTATCAATTCTAGGAGGAGATCCACCCCCTTTTGGGAGAGCAAGTGACGCAATTGTGCCACTGGTCCGCCTCCTTTTATCTCACTTAAGTTGGGTGGTATGCAGCCATGGGTATTAGATGAGGCTTCAATACACTTTACCAGTCCTCTTGCCAGATGATCAGTGTTTCCTCCTGTTGCTTCAAAAGGTACTACAGCTGATCTTAGCTTAGTTATAGCTTATACTCATTTAGGTACAGTGGGCAAGGAGTCGACATCTGGATTACCCTTTTGATTAAGGCAGACCTTAGTTTAAAACAAATGAGCCAAAATATACAACACTGCCGAGAATGGAGAAAAACCTGGTGGTCTCACAATAGTACATATAACAGCAGGATAAATGATCAAAAACAAAATGTGCTGTGGCAGACAAATGCACATAACAATATCTAAGTAACTTTAAAGTCTGAATGCACTAAATTAAACTTAACTTTGTTAAATAAGTAAATAAAATACTTACTGTGACAAGTTGGGCATCTTTTTCCATTGTGGGAAAACCTACTTAATGTCATATCAAAATCTGTTATTACCTGCAACAGGAATGTGACAAATTACATGAATGCCAATAAATGTTTTTAGATTTTATATATTGTTGGAGTATTATTGTTCAAGAGACAATGTAGTTGCTTAATGTAGTTGTTCTGGTGAGTACAATCACTGCCTTCAGGCATTTTCATGCAAACACTGCCTTTTCAGAGAAAAGGCAAAAAGGCAGTGTTTACATTTCCCCTAGGTACACCTTCAAGTGGCCACTCCTCAGATGGCCACTGGAGGTGCTCCCTGGCTCAGTGCTGTACAGTAGGCAGCAGTGCCGTTCAGCGTCTCCTCGCTGTGCATGGGGACGCTGAATTTTGGTAAATACATAAATCCTGGATTGATGGTAGGTCATAAGGACTGGTTTGGGAATCACTGATGTACCCAATTTCCCTGTGAGACTTCAGGTTGAACATTTAAATGTTCCTCCATGATCGCAATTCTTCTCCAAGGAACAAAAGAATTCTGGCAGTTAGCTTAGCTACATCCTGCCCAGACCCCTCACTTTCTTCAACCAAATACTACTTGCTCCAGCAAAGCCAAATCTTAATTTGATATTTGATTAGTTATGAGAAAGAGGGATTCTGGTCACTGGCACATCAAGGTCCCAGCTGAGGCAAAACTTACCTGGAGTTTAGAAGCGCCACCTTTTATGAGTCCACATATTATTTCTTCTACTTTTGCAGGGTCCCTTATGTGGACCGTTTTCTTCTGAAACTCAGGCATCTGGTAGGGAATAAATAAAAAGATTAATGGGCGTGAAATCAAGAACATGTATAAAAAGAAATTTAAAAAAATACAAGTTTCCTTTCTTTTTAAACGTTGACACTCTACTTCCCAAAAATGTATGTGTCAAAACATCATAAATACAGATGCCCTGGAGAAAAAAAAAAAAAAAAACTGTTTCAAATAATTGAAATTAATAAACGCAATGTAAAGAATATTTGCCAGAACGTCTAGCATAAATAGTTCTGACGTATAGTAAGCATTTTTTTAAAAAATAAATATATTCACAATATAAATAATATTAGATTACATAAATCAAGCAGTTACCATATGATGAGCCTATAAAAAAATTTCAGGCCGCATATCTGTTGTGTTGACAGAATTTACATATAGCTCTTTTGTGTCCATCCCCAGATAGGATCTAATTAGAAGGATGCCCAGCTTTAACTGTTTTGCATCTCAGGGGCTTATTAGTGCAGCAGTAGCCTGTTCCGCAGTTTGAAATTTCTCTGACAGCATTACTAAGGCTTAGCTAAAACATTCAAAATCATCTATTTCAGACTTATGCAAAACAAAGGACATGGATTTCAAGTTTGTCTAGGACCATTTCAAAGATCATTTGATAACATATGTGCTCACTCTGTCAGTCTCTTCAGCTTAGAATATGTATCACTTTATATTGTATATCTGATCAGTTGCTTAACTTGTCTCTAAATCCATGTTTAATGCTTTTTTTTTTATTTTATTTTTTTAATTCCAGATATAAAAAATACAAATACAGAAGCTTGCTTTAAAAGCGAAAAAGCTTAGTGTGAAATGTCTACAATATAACTATTGTTCAGAAAGACAGCCACTAGAGGTGTGTTAACCCTCCATTAAAACATGGTTGTATCTACAAAACAGCAATGTTTTACATTGAAAGGCTAAAAGGACAGGACCACCAGTCAGTCCACTTCATTGAAATGGAGTGGTCTGGGTGCCTATAATGGTCATTTAAGATTAATTATATGGCTGGCCACTAAAGAAAGACAGGAAATAGAAACCAGAACGTGGAAATAATTTTGTATTTTATTCTCTCCCATCCCCTTCTAAAAATGATGTGTCCTCAAATTACATTTTCTACACTAAAGTGTTGAGAAAGCTTTGGATGCATGAAGAAAAAAAAAATACAACAAAAAACAAACTTAAAGGAGCATTATAGTGCCAGGAAAAAACAAACAAAAAAAAAACAAAAAACAAAAAAACTTGTTTTCCTACCACTATAGGATTATTAGATCCCCCCCCTCTTGCTGGGCTGAAGGGGTTAAAACCCCTTAGCCACTTACCTTAATCCAGCGCCGGGCTCCCCCGCCGCAGGTGACCTCTCCTCCCCCTGCCAACATCAGCTATGAATGCACATGCGCGGCCAGAGCCATGCGAGCATTCAAACTGCCCATAGGAAAGCATTACTCAATGCTTTCCTAGGATGTCAGCTTCATCTCAGTGTTATTTTCGCACCAAGAATCACGGAAGCGCCTCTAGTGGCTGTCACATTTCACTTTTTACTTGAATGAGAAGCCACGTTGGGTCAGACTTTACTGTTTATCTAACCATCTGTTGTTCAACCTAACTGCAGATGTTGTTTTACACAAAGCAATCACGGCAGCAGACAGGTTAGGTAGAGCAGTAATTGGACAGGTAACTGTAAAGTGCAAACCAACGTGGCTGCAAATGTAATAAATGTTACATAGTTACATAGCTGAAAAGAGACTTGCAAGTTCAGCCTTCCTCACATATGTTTTTGCTGTTGATCCAAAAGAAGGCAAAAAACCTAGTCTAAAGCGCTTCCAATTTTGCAACAAACTAGGAAAAAAATTCCTTCTTGACCCCAAAATAGCAGTCAGATGTCTCCTTGGATCAAGCAGCTATTACCCCACTAATTAGAAACTATATCCCTGTATGTTATGTTTTTGCAAGTATTTATCCAATTGCAGTTTAAACGTCTGTAATGACTGACAAAACGACCTCTTCAGGCAGAGAATTCCATATCCTTATTACTCTTACTGTAAAAAAAAAAAAAAAAAAACACACCTTTTCTTTGCCATAGATGAAATCTCCTTTCTTCCAGCCTAAATGTGTGACCTTGTGTCCTATGTATAGCCCTGTTTATGAACAGATTTCCAGATAATGGTTTGTTTAACCTTTTAACTAAAATGCTCCACTCCTTTTATCAATTTTGTAGCTCGTCTCTGGACTTTTTCTAGTGCCATGATATCTTTCTTTAGAACAGGCGCCCAAAATTGCACAGCATATTCAAGGTGTGGTCTTTATAAAGAGGCAAAATTATATTTTCATCCCGAGAATTTAAATACACAGAGGGTTATTCAGTACTAAATTAATTTTAGTAATTATTATTATTATTATTAATTTTTTTTTAAACGCATACACTATGTATAAAATGCATTTTACATTTAACATTTGGCTACGCTTTAATATATTAATACATCAAGATTATGAACTGGAAAAAGGTAAGGTGTCTTAACATTGGGTGGGTGGGTGTTTATACAATAATTATAATCGAGTAATAAAGGAAATGTTTGCTGGCTTACAACTCAACACAGAATTCCTGGATAATAATGGATTTCATATAAGAGAAGTCTTTGGTGACACATACAAGGAAAGGAATTCATGCTTCAACCACTGCTATAGGTATTTTAAAAATTTAAATAATGTCTGTAAATGAAGTTTCTCTAAACAAATAAATCTTGTGAAAAAATCTGATCACTATCTATAAAAATAATACGTAACATGTTCCAGCTCTGGGTGCAGAATACGAACCCTGACAGCCAAGGGAACAAGGTCCGAGACGGACACTCCCAGTTGTGAAAATTGCAGGCAAAAGCTACCAGTCAGATTGACAATCTCTGGTGTTCCAAAGCACTAAACTGGACTAGCTGGTTCTCTCCCTTCAGTAAGATAAAAATGTCTCACTCCACAGAAAAACAAAAAATATTCAAAATAGACAGTATGGCTGAAACATACAGGTGTACCCAAAACATTTTATTACAATGCTCTCTTAAAAAAACACACTTTAATAAAATGAGACACGTAAGACTTCCTCATTACCTTAAAGGGACACTATAGTCACCTGAACAACTTTAGCTTAATGAAGCAGTTTTGGTGTATAGAGCAGCCTCACTGCTCAATCCTCTGCCATTTAGGAGTTAAATCCCTTTGTTTATGAACCCTAGTCACACCTCCCTGCATGTGACTTGCACAGCCTTCCATAAACACTTCCTGTAAAGAGAGCCCTATTTAGGCTTTCTTTATTGCAAGTTCTGTTTATTTAAGATTTTCTTATCCCCTGCTATGTTAATAGCTTGTTAGACCCTGCAAGAGCCTCCTGTATGTGATTAAAGTTCAATTTAGAGATTGAGATACAATTATTTAAGGTAAATTATATCTGTTTGAAAGTGAAACCAGTTTTTTTTTCCATGCAGGCTCTGTCAATCATAGCCAGGGGAGGTGTGGCTAGGGCTGCATAAACAGAAACAAAGTGATTTAACTCCTAAATGACAGTGAATTGAGCAGTGGATTTGCAGGGGAATGATCTATTCCTTAAAACTGCTTTATTTAGCTAAATTAATTTAGGGGACTATAATGTTCCTTTAACACACTTCAGCACAGAAGCTGAAGTGCAACTTTGGGATTCTTCTTAAAAGAACACAAAGGGCAAAAGAAATAAAGTTTTAATAGTAGCATGTGCTTTCATTTTTTTAGGTTAGGGCCTACTCTTTATTAACCCCTGAAGGACAGAGTCAAATGTCCAAACTCTGACAAAACAAAACCTAGAATTTGCGCTGTGTGTTTGTTTCACTATAGTGAAGCAGTTTTTGTGTATAGATCATGCCTCTATGTTTTACTGCTGAAGTCACTGCCATTTAGGAGTTAAGTCACTTTTGTTTCTGTTTTTGCAGCGCTAGCCATACTTCCACTGGTGATTTCATTTTAAATCAGATGTAACTTACTTAAAAAGTTTTATCATATACAGGAGGCTCCCTCAAGGTCTAGCAAGCTATTAACAGAGCAGAGGATATGAAATTCAAAATTAAACAGAATTTGCAATAGAGTAAGTGTAAATATTAGATGTGTCTTCACAGGAAGTTTTTAAGGAAGTCTGTAAGTCACATGCAGGGAGGTGTGCCTAGGGCTGCATAAACAAAGTGATTTAACTCCTAAATGACTTAGAATTGAGCAGTAAAACTGCAGAGGCATGGTCTATACACCAAAACTGCTTCATTAAGCTAAAGTGGTTTTGGTGACTGTAGTATCCCTTTAACCCCTTAAGGACCAAACTTCTGGAATAAAAGGGTATCATGACATGTCACACCTGTCATGTGTCCTTAAGGGGTTAAATTTGAATAAAATCTTAAATATGGGGCAATTCAGGGGGAGATAACATACAGTGCAACAAAAGATCTCAAAAATAGATTAACAAAAATAGATTAAGTCCTGATTCCTAAATGGTCTCTGGTAGTTAATGCTAACCCTATGGAAGTCAACTATCCCTGCACCAAAATGTTAGTATGTGTCATTACGCCACAACGTTGTTAAAGCCTATGTTTTGCAGGACATAATGTAGTTAAGTGGTTAAAATAAAAAAATACAATTTTAAAAAATCCAGCAGCAAGACAGTCTCTTCGATATATATATATATATATATATATATATATATATATATATATATATATATATATATATATATATATATATATATATATATATAAATTATCAATGGGGAGCTAGTGATTGGCTTACAGCGTCAGCTGACCGCTCTAGCCATTCAGCAGCGGCCCCATGCTTCCTATAACTGAGAATTCCACCTGGGGGAACTGGAGGCAACCTATGGGGTTAAACCGTTTGAGAACAGTTTATCCCCTTAAAATGATTCTAGAGTGACACGAAAACAAAGTTGTTTTCCAGGCACTACAGGGTTAATAGGTATCCCCCTCCCTCGTTCCCCCCCTTCCCGCAGTGCTGATAGGGTTAAAACCCCTATCAGCCACTTACCTGATTCCAGCGCTGATGTCCCTCAGCACTGGGTCAGGCTTCGCCCGCCCCCAGAGACTTATTTCGCATGCGCGGCAATAGCCGTGTGAGCACGCATTAGACCTCCCCATAGGAAAGCATTCAATGCTTTCCTAAGGGAAAATTTGACGCTGGAGGTTCGTGAGGACGTTCAGCGTCAGATAACGGACTAAAAGTTTCTGGAAGCCATTAACATTTAAGTTTAACATTGTAGCACTAAGTGCAAAAGGGTCACAACACCCAGACTACTTCAATTAGATGAATTGGTCTGGGTGCCTACAGTTTCCCTTTAAGGTAAGAGTGCACAATTTCAATGTAATACCTGTACACAAGTTAAATAAATTGTATGTATAAAACACTTTGTGCCATCAGCAAGTAGGCTGCCAGTGTAAATAATAAAAGAAAGAAGGGAAAAAAAACGCATCAAGTCCTTGACACACCTAGCATATACTTTGTAATCTCTCTATAGTGAATGCTACTCAGCTGTACATAACCTTGGATTAAATTACAACCTCATGATGAGGCCAAAAATAAAGCTCAAAAGAAAATTACAACCTTTGCCACCTGTGTGCTATGCCTACATTGTCATATTACCAAGTAACTCCAAACAAAAGTGCTCAGCTCAGCAAAGTATACTTCTCAATTATTTACAGAACGGTACAGTTCCAACAGCAGAATCACACAAATACTGTAGGTCAATACAAAACAATTCCACCATCTACCACAAGATGGAATCTACCCAAAAATATTCCTAATTTCAGAATCTTTAGTAATCGTATGAGGCATTTACAAACACGCAAAAAGTAGGCCAATGCTAAACAACCTAGAATATGTGTCTGAATACAGTGAAAATAATCATGAAGTATCACCGGAGACTAGAGAAAGATATGTTATCACTTTTCCTGATATTTCATTATTATGATAAAATGTAGACTTTCACATCCAATCTAATCCATGAATTAAGGACTTTGGAATCTGTAGATGTTTCTATATCTTGCCCTTTTCCTTTCTTTAAACTGTATGTCAGTACCTGTAGCATATAATATTAGTTTACAAGGCTACGTGAAAACAAAGAACACAACAACTTGTGCAAAAATTCTCACTCTGTTACCTTTTCATTACGTTTTTAACTTGGATGTGAATTTGGTTTCCCTGTTTGATCTTTTATGCTTATCTTTATTACACTCTTGCAAAGATAACATGCTATTTTAGAGTACTTTCACTTTCCATATATCTGAGTAAGTCCAAGTAGCAAGAAGCTCATTAAAAGGCCAAGAAAGACATCACAGCTTAATATCTTGACTAGAGTTATGTAACAACTAAGCCAAATGACCTTTGAAGGCAAGTCATAGTAGGACACATGGCAGATTTTTCTTTTTTATGATTGTTGAAGAAAAGCTAAATGTAGATATGCGAATACAAAACGCACTGGCCCTTCTAACAAACAAACCAATGATATTTTCAGATCTTAGAGCTGTCCCACTGCTGCCGTACTATTCAATTTCCATGAATTTCTCAAACATAAACCACCAGTTTTTAACTTAAAACATGTGCACTTAAAAAAAAAAGTTATAAGATATTGCCAGTAAATATAAAATAATTTCCAACAAAGTGAACGCATAGACATAATGAGAAAAACACGCTAACACGGCAGTATTTGAAAATTTGTCTGTACGTTTGTGTGTACAATATAATAAAATATAAACACTAATTTAAACAGGCCACAGGTAAACATGTTTCTATGCCTTGACAAGTACTGCAGGCACTTGTGTAAGAAGTAGCCTGCTTGTTTACATTAGAGTCTTACCACAAGGTTCACTGAAGCAGCTGATCACAGAAAAGAAAATTGTTCTAGTCAGCTCAGGGCTTATATAGCTCAAGGTGCAGATAAGGGCGTTGCCATAAATAGACCGGCTAATCCCTCAGAGCAGAAGCCTGATGTTCTCTGAAGCAGAGTAACATTGCTGGGCCCAGTGCCACGACTTGAATACTCACATGCGTTCACTTGGCACAGCTTTAGCAAAAACATTTGGCACTGTCAGAAAGAGGCATAAAGAATGCTTTCTTTTCCTGGTCAAGGAAAGGAAAGCGGTTACCACTTAATTACAGATATAACTTTAGCTATACTGCCCTGTAATATTTACTGTAGTAAAACTCTGCACACAACACCCGTAGCCTGAGAACGGAATTACAAACATAACCGGCTAAATATACCCCATGTTCTCCTACACCCTTTCACTGACAGAGCTTGTAAACAGACTTTGTTAGATCAACAAGATAATATCCATAGTAACATTAGTCGGTGTTATTCACTAAAGTGTGAACCGTCAGGAATTCAATGTGAGTTTCAAATTTTACACAGACAAAATTTCCAAACTGAAAACAAGACCAAGAACTTTTAACCCCTTAAGGACTGAGCCAAATGTACACGTTGTGATCAAATCAAAACGTAAACAAAAACTTTGCGCTATACGTCTGTTCAGGCATCATTCGTCTCTTTCATATTATGTGCACCCACACTTATTATATATCATTTTATTCAGGGGAACAGGGCTTTCATTTAACATCAAATATTTAGGTATAAAACATAATTTAATATGAATAAAATATAAAAAAAAAAAAATGGGAGAAAATAAGAGTTTTAAAAAAATGTTTAGTTCTACATGACATTCTAACTGTGAATGTCATAATACGGTTTGCTTTTACTGCAATAAAATACACATATTTGTATTCAGCGATGTCTCATGTGTAAAACAGTACCCACTATGTACAGGTTTTATGGTGTTGTGAGAAGTTACAGGGTCAAATACAGCACGTTAAATTTTTCAGTTTTTTTACACTGAAATTCGCCAGATTAGTTACGTTGCCTTTGAGACCGTATGGTAGCCCAGGAATGATAATTACCCTCATGATGGCATACCGTTTTCAAAAGTAAACAACCCGAGGTATTGCAAATGGGGTATGTCCAGTCATTTTTAGTAGCCACTTGGTCACAAACACTGGCCAAAGTTAGTGTTCATATCTGTTTGTGTGTGAAAAATGCAAAAAACTAATTTGAACGCCAATTTTGGCCAGTGTTTTAGGCGTTTAGGATAATCATCTCATATTTACCATTTAGCTAATTTTTTAACCTCTTAAGGTTGGAGGCAATTGTAAAAGTTCTGAAGCAAAATAAAACAGATTTTAAGCTACAAGTCTGTTCACCCATAATTTACCTATTTTATAATAAGTGCACCCACACCTATTATAGATCTTTATTTTGTTATTTTCCAAGTTCAGTATGGCATTTAAACTGTGAATCTCATAATACAATGTTCGCTTTTACTGCAATAAAATACACATATTTGTGTTCAGCAATGTTAAGTACAACAGTATCCCCATGTACAGGTTTTATGGGGCTTTGGAAAGTTACAGGGTAAAAAAAATCGAAATAAAGAGCTTGTCAGTTTCAGTTTTCACACATTAGAATTTGCCAAATTGGTTTGCTGGACTTATTTTGCCTTTGAGACCACATGGCATACCATTTGCAAAAGTAGACAACCTAGGGTAATCAAAATGGTATATATAGGTCTACGCTGTTTTAGTAGCCACTTAGTCACAAACCCTGGCCAAAGTTAGTGTTCATATTTGTTTAATTTTTGCATTGTTCACAAATAAACTTCCCTTTCAATTACTATATCATAGTCATTAAACATTTAACTTTTTTAAAAACACTCATATTTGTAATTTGGACTTGCAAATTAAATTCTCTGAACATTCTGCTTGGGTTGTCAGGCACGTCTCCCAATATATAATTAATAAAAGCACATAATTATGTAAAAGTAATATGGAAACATACAAACAGAATATTCTCATATTAAGTTATATGAATGAATATGAGAGGAAAGTGCTGAGCAAATTGTATTTACCATACATGCACATTTAATAATACATTTAAAAAAATTTTTGTTACATGTTATTTTATCATTTATATGTTTGGGAATCTGCCTGACAACCCAGGCAGCACCCATGTCAGGCGAGGAGGGTAGGTATCCCGGCTGCAGGAAGGACTTGATTGTTAGGGCCGTGCTACGCCACCATAACAATGTTAAAACTGTACTGTCATGAAAGAGTTAATGTTCCCATATTGTCATTATACCACGATGGTACCATACAGTACTGTATTAAACTACTCACAATATGATAAGACATTCAGATACAAAAAATTGCTTAAATTTGTCTAGTAGACAGACATGTACCTACCTGTATGTTTATTCAACTTTCAGGTGCAATTTACTTTCTGTATACTCAAGGAAGGTGCCCTGAAACTCCCCCATGTTGCTATGTTTATTTTTAAGTGTTTGCCTTTCTGTCATTGTTTTGGATAGGGATGTGGCTTAAAGCTGCCTTTCATCAATGTGTTTATGATTAGCAGGAATTGTAAATCTCTCTCTCACTCTGGCTTTTTAAATGTATTTGCATAACGTAACAAAAACATGTGCGTGGTATATTCTTATAGCCCTAAAGAAAATAATACCAGTTAAGGTGCTAGGTTTTAGAAAAGTCAAAGTGAAAAAATACAAGCAATATTGTCCAGCATCTCTTACGTAAGAAATGCAATGCGCTGTTGCATATTTGTTTATTAAAAACATGCCACATGAACAGCACAATACATTTGAATACCCTTTGAACACACCGGATCTACAGTGACAGAAATTACAGCATCTCAATATTTTGCCATCCCAGTTTATATAAGTTGCAGGAGAAATAGGTTTCTAAGGGGAGATAAATTGGAGACTAGGTGTTGCTTTGCAGACAATATTATGCCTGGTTTCCATCTAACATGAAATAAAATCAAATCAGGAGGATTTATTTATGCGTCACCAAGTGTATTCTTTTACAGAAGGTGTCTGGAGTGCCCTTTAAGAGTATGGTATAAAATAATGCTATTTACCAGGGGTGGGCAATCTGCAGCCCTCCAGATGTTTTGGACTACATCTCCCATAATGCTCTTAGGGCCATAATGCAAGCAAAGCATCAAGGGAGATGTAGTCCAAAACATCTGGAGGGCCACAGATTGCCCACCCCTGCTATATACCTATCCTTAGTACACAAAGTCAGTGGTACACCACGAAAGATACAAACACACTGGACATGAGAATACATTTCGGTAAATGTCAATGTCAAGGTCCAATAAGCAGTACACTCATAGCTTGCTGAATCCTACAGATACAGATTATCACACATACTCTTCTGAGCCGAGCCATCCTATATTTAGGAACATGTTTTGAGATAATTTTAGTTAAGGTATTTAGTAAACAAATATAATGACTATACCAGACTATTTTGAAATGTAAACTAAGTACCAATGGATACATATTTAGCCAACTTTCTGTGTGACACATCCCAAATATATTAAATAAATACAATTATTCCTGTTTTCCATATTTCTTAAGGGAACACTCCAAGCACCCTAAACACTACAGAGGTTATGGTGCCTGGGGGACTTTGGCTGCCTCTCAGAGTAAGTAGTCTTTGGGGCCAAAACAAACCATTGTCTGGAAATCTACTCTAGACATGAGTCTACATAAGACACAAAGTCACCCGTTTAGACTGGAAGAAGGGAGATTTAGCTTAATGCGAAAGAAAGGGTTCTTTACAGTAAGAACAATAAAGTTGTGGAATTTGTGGTTTTATCAGAGTCTGTACAAATCTTTAAACTTACCTTGAATCCATATGGACTGCCGCATCTTCATCTGCCGCTGGAAAGCTCTGCACTGAGCTAAGACAAAGAGTACAGCAAGGCGCTCACTGGCTTAGAGTGCTAAGGGCTTCAAACAGTTTGTTTATGCCAGGGGACTCTTGGTAGCATAACCACCATAACAACAAGTTACAGTAAATATAAAACTATTGTATCACCAATATTCAGGAAAACATCCAAACCTTTAAAGCAGCTCTGGCACCATATTACCTTGTTTCAATCTGTTCTTGTCAAGTTATAAGTATTAATTCACTCATCACAATAAATATGGAAGATCCTCCATAGACCTCATTGCTGAAACATATTAAACTTCAGGAGCTGAATAGGATTTAACATATACATATGGTTTTGACAGTACTTTAGGGTTAATCCAGCCTCTAGTGGCAGTCTCACTGACAGCCGCTAGAGGCGCTTCCGCACTTCTCACTGTGATTTTCACACTGAGAAGATGCCAGCGTCCATAGGAAAACTTTGAGAATGCTTTCCTATGGACTGGCTGAATGCACGCGGCTCTTGCCGCGCATGCGCCTTCAGCCGATAACTTTAGAAGAGGGAGGAGAGTCCCCAGAGCCGAGGGAGCCCAGTGCTGAAGAAAGGTGAGTGTTTAACCCCTTCCTCCCCCCTCAGCCCGGCGGGAGTGGGACCCTGAGGGTGGGGGCACCCTCAGAGCACTATAGTGCCAGGAAAACGAGTTTGTTTTCCTGGCACCATAATGGTCCTTTAAAACAAATCTGAACTATTTGTCTGCTGGCAGCGACTGCAAATAAATTTTATTTATTTATTTTTTAAATAAAACAAAAACAATTAAAAAACACACACCTCAGTGGTGTGAGGGTTAATTGTGATGACTGGTCATTCACATTAATAAAAAAATTATTACTGTCTAGTAGGCGGGCATGTGCCATAAAAAATGTAAAAAAATAAAACACGCGCTCCACGCAGAGTGTGGAGACGCTAAACTAGGAGACGCCTCTAGTAGACGTTTGAGTGACTGTCACTAGGGATGTAACTTTTCTCTGAAGTAGCAGTATTTACATTGAAAAGCCTGCAGAAACATACTATAGACACCAGAACCACTACATTAAGCTAAAATGGTTCTGGTGATTATGTCCCTCTAATTTCAAAAAGGTAGTAATATTTTAATGTACATATAAAACACAACTACAATCACCCCTAGGGAAAAACCAAGGTATCTCAAAAGTCAAGGAAATTCCTAATCACCATGTCACTTTATCTCCATATGTTGTCAGTTACTGGAAACAAAAACATTTAACCGAAGGAAAGAAGGAAGAGATCTTTCAATTGTCTCAAATAGCTACAAATTATGTGATTCACACATATTAATTTAAATGACAAGTCAATGGTAATTAGAACAAAAGCAGTTTAAGAGGAAGAACAGGAACTGAAGACCTGTTAATTACATTTGTAAGTTCTTAATAAAGAAGTGGATCACATGTAGTGACTGGTGGCAGGTGCAAGACTGTCCATTCCTTATCAGTGTCAAGTGACAAATACGACTGAGGAAGAGTACAACAGACATAGTTTGAAGGATGTAAACACTAACATTTCTGTTAGCCTAAAGGCTAAATACAAGAAATATTTATAATGGAGTGGTCATGTACATCTATTTACTGTAGATATTACAGTTCACTTTAATACAGGTTTAAGATAGATACATTATTTGTAGTTTTTAAAGGGACACTATAGTCACCAGAACAACTACAGCTTATTGTATTTGTTCTAGTGAGTATAATCAGTGCCTTCAGGCTTTTTGCAGTAAACATGGACATTTCAGAGAATATACAGTGTTTACATTACTACCCAAGGACACCAACTGACCACTCCACCATGGCTACTAAATGAGCTTCGTGGGGCAGTGCTGCACAGTGTGCAGTGCTGTCATTCAGTGTCTCCACCCTCAGCATGCAAACACTAAACTTTACTTATTCAATGCCCCTGACCTGCCTCCTTGACAGTCTTAGCCAATCCAGTGCTTTCCTATCTGAACAGAGAGAATCACTTCTGATGAGGTCAGCCAAGCAAGCAGATAAGCATACATTGGGTTTAGAATGGTAAAGTAAAAGTACTCATTCTGAGCCATATTTGTATATTGGTGCAATAGATATATGTCATAAAATCATAATAATTTATAGAATTAAACAACAAAAGCCCTATTCTTAAATTTGTTTATTAGACAACTCTCTTATTTGTTATCCTTATGTGGGATTGCCATATTAAAGGATACCAACTTAGAGAGCGATCTACTAAACAAATACACATGTACACAATCACTGACCTATACACACAATCACAAACATACACACACACATACAACCACAGACCTATATACAGTCACATACATACACACATAATCACAGACCCACAACCACAGTCACAAAGACCCACACACACAGTCACATACATAATCACAGATGTACAACATACAGGGTTTCCTTGCACTCACGCTTGTAGACAGTTGTAAGCCGGGTGCTTGTAATCCAGGGAAAAATTGCATATGGTGAAGTAGTGATCAGCACTCTCGGACTTTTGTTGAGTTTAAAACTTACAGTTTATTGAAATTCCATTTAAAAGATCAACGTTTCAGTTCCTATCTGGAACTTTCATCAGGATCAAAGCATGTTTGATCCTGATGAAAGTTCCAGATAGGAACTGAAACGTTGATCTTTTAAATGGAATTTCAATAAACTGTAAGTTTTAAACTCAACAAAAGTCCGAGAGTGCTGATCATTACTTCACCATAATCACAGATGTACACACACACAAACTTACATACATACACACAATCACAGATTCACAGATGCGCGCGCGCACACACACAATCACAGATGCGCGCGCACACACACACCTATACACGCAACCACAAATATGCACACGCGCGCGCACACACACACAATGACAAAACACACACATAATCACAACCAGACACATCAATACACACAATCCCACACATCCAAACACAATCACTGACTTACACATAATTACAGACAAAACATACACAAAAATTACATTCATACACTCAGTACTTAATAGGTCCACCCAGCCTCCCTACCTTGCTCTGGGAGGGCTGGAATGGATCCTCTATCCCTGGAGGCTAGCGGTTGCTGCTGAGCTAGGACCTATGCCTGCACAAGTACTTCGCGCCCAGTAGTGGTCCCGGGATGACGTATCGGCCGGCTCACTGCAGGGCGCACGAGGGAGCTGTCCAGGGCCACGGGTTGGACATTCCTGAGTTAAAGGAATACTTCAAACACCGTGACCACTTCAGTGTTTTGAAGTTGAAAATTTGAAAGTACCCTGTAAATGCAGCTTTTCTGTGTGTGTGTGTATATATATATATATATATATATATATATATATATATATATATATAAAAGAAAAAAAGAGATCCTGCACTCCATCAATTGCAAAGAAATTCCAATGCCCGGTGCTTGTCCAGCACAATATAGAAAGACAAATAGGATAGCACTCACAGGACTATGTAAGAAAAATAAAACTTAACTTTTAATAGCTTAGTCCAAAAATCAACGTTTCAGTCTGTTAATACCAGACTTTCATAATCCTGATGAAAGTCTGGTATTAACAGACTGAAACGTTGATTTTTGGACTAAGCTATTAAAAGTTAAGTTTTATTTTTCTTACATAGTCCTGTGAGTGCTATCCTATTTGTCTTTCTATATATATATATATATATATATATACATATATATATATATATATATATATATATATATATCTATCTATCTATCTATCTATCAGGCTGTAGTTCTACGATACTTGTAGTAACACTTTAAAGGAACACTATAGGCACACAGACCACTCATTGAAGGGAAAGGCAATTATTGCAGTTTTTAATACAAGACAGCTAATGGAGGATGTCCTCAAGCTATGCACGAAGACATCCAGCATCATGTAAAACCCCATAGGAAAGCATTATACATGCTTTCCGATCGAGGAAATACTAGTGTAAGCGCAGCCATTGCTACGCATGCATTAGGTCTCCCCAGAACCAGTGCCAAGGGACATCAGCACTGGTCTCCAGTAAGTGTCACAGGGGGTGGGGAGGGGGCTTGTTGGAGGTGGGCACTATAGGGAGACATAGTGCCAAGAAAACAACTTTGTTTTCTTGGTACTAGCATCCCTTTAATAATTTCATGATCATGCAAACAAAACTAAATAAAATTAGAGCATAAACAACTAATGAGCGCATGACAAATACATCATGATTTCCTGTTTCATGTAACATTCTTCCTCACCGTGCATCTGCTTGACTAACACTTGCGGCCGCTGCGGATCCACGGCTAATTATACCCCCACATACGCTCATGTGATTGCACGCACACACTTTTGAGGTCAAAGAGCGATGTCAGCCAATCGGAAGGTAAAGCAGGTATTTAAACCTAAAATTACCTTTCCTCATTGCCCTGTCGTGGTTTCCCTAATGGTTGTCCGAGAGCGTGTTCCTGATTCAAGTTTATTCTAGTTTTTGACTTTGGCTTTGACTTCCCTGTATTCTGTTATGTCTGACCTCTGGCTTTCCTTTATCGTTGTGTCCTATTCTGTGTCCCCTGACCTCAGCTAGTATCCTGACTATTTTTTGGTACGTTAGTCCGACATTCTAAGGCCCGGTAATATGTTACCTATTAGTCATCTGTGTGACACAATACTACGTGCTGGATCATATAGTAATCCTGACATTTCAGTTATACAAGGTATTTGTGATTACATCATATAATTTACATTTACAACATAGAGCAATAAATTACAAGATGATACTAATTTGAGTAACATGTTTAACTGAAAATAAGTCTATACATGCTAACAGAAATACCAAATTTAAAATAGCAACTTAGTTTGATATTAACGATTATGTAGTTAGGCCATAAGATGTACAAAACATTAAAGAATTAATTGAAACTTTACATACCTGGTAAGGGATTATCTGCTTTTATTTTTTTTTTTATTTTATTTTTTTAAGAGGAAATTGGGGAGCACAGAAACATTACAGACACTTAAAAGGGGAAACTATACAGCTGAGGGACATTGGTACTGGGATTAGAAAAGAGAATAAAGGTTTTTTTAATCCTTTATTGACCGCGGCGGGGAGGCACAGGGAGCCATAGTGCCAGGAATACAGCTTTGTATTCCTGGCACTACAGTATCTCCTTAAATATATATTTGTAAAAGAAAAAAAACTTTAACAATATATATCTAGATATTTATTTTCTTTGCACTATTTTTTATTTCCAAAGGATAATTTATTGATCACACCTTGAAAGGTTTCTACCAAGCCTTTTTTTTTTTTTTTTTTTAAAACACACACACACACAGTTTACCATTTAACCTGGATTATCTTTCTCTAGGGAAGTTTGAAAACACATGCGTGAGAGCAACAGAACAAGAAAAACAAAACAAAAGCTCTTTTGAAATATTTTAACTAGACTATATGGAAGATAGGTAATACACTGAAAACATCACTTTTATTGTACTGTATTTTAAACTTCTGAGCAGGTGTCTGGAGAGCTCTACTGCTTTGGCAAGTGTGCGCAAATTCCATGATTGTAATCTGAGAAATGGTTGTAATCTGAGAAATGGTTGTAAAAGAGCAACTGGCTAGACTAACATCATGGAGATAAATTTATTGAGCATGCACTGGCTAAGGTCAGCGCTTTTACAGAGTTCATTCTTTCAAACAAGAAAAAAAAAAAAATGGAAACCACAGCAACATATCAGACATAAGTGTCCACAGCAGTGGGGAAAAATTATCTTGATATAGGTGATCTAAATCTATGGTAAACCAAATCCCAAAATGATACAAACAATATCTATACCAACGGAAAGGGAATTGTGGTTGCAAGAGCCTAGAAAAGGGAGTCATGAGAGAGACTGTTTGTATATTTTGATCCTTTAAAAGGAAAACATTGCCAATCACTATATTCACTATTAATTGCACTGAAAGAAACTTTGGCACTTGTGAGTTATTCTTTTCCTGTTGAATTTAGATCATACATCAGGGGGATTACTATCATTTAAATCAATAATTAATTACAGAGAGGAGATCAATTACATAGTGACAAAACATTTAAAGGGAAACTCCAGTGCCAGGAAAACAATCCGTTTTCCTGGCACTGCAGGTCCCCTCTCCCTCCCACCTCCCATCCCAGGTAGCTGAAGGGGTAAAAACCCCTCCAGTTCACATACCTGAGACCCCGCCGATGTCCCTCGGCGGTGGTTTCGGGTCGGTGTCGCTCCTCCCAGTAATTACGTCAGCCGGTGGGCAAGACTGATCCCGCCCGCTGGCTGAGGAAACCTAATACGCATGCGCGGTAATGCTTTCCTATGGGGAACTGAGCGACGCTGGAGGTCCTCACACAGCGTGAGGACGTCCAGCGACACTCTAGCAAACAAAATCTTTGCTATGAAGCAGGAAGTGCCCTCTAGTGGCTGTCTAGTAGGCAGCCACTAGAGGTGGAGTTAACCCTGCAAGGTAATTATTGCAGTTTATAAAAAAACTGCAATAATTACAGTTGCAGGGTTAAGAGTAGTGGGAGTTGGCACCTAGACCACTCTAATGGGCAATAGTGGTCTGGGTGCCTGGAGTGTCCCTTTAAACACAAAACATGTATATAAAGAGGATTTTACATAACTAATCACGAAACAATAACATACAGGTGAGCATGTACAAAAACACAATGCAGAAAACATGACAAAACCACACACAAGTTAAAGTGACACTATAGTCACCAGGGCAACTGAAGCATAATGTAGTTGTTTTGGTGAGTAAAGTCAGTCCCTGAAGGCTATTTGGTGTGTACACTGTCTTTTCAGCCGAGGGACACCTCCATGAGCCACTTCTTAGATGGCCGCTAGAGGTGCATCCATGGGCAGTGCATGCGCAGCAACGACGTTCAGCGTCTCCAAGCTCTGCATGAAGGTGCTGAACTTTCCTTATAAAGATGCATTAATTTAATGCATCTTTATGAGGAAATGCTGATTGTCCAGGGTGCTGTCTGGCCAGCATATGCAGACCTGTGAAGAGCTGTAAATAATGTGAGTTTTAACACTAAGGGGTCAATCCACCTAAATGGTGGTTTTAACAATATAGGGTCAGGAATACGGATTTGTGTTTCTGACCCTATAGCATTCCTTTAATACAAGGTTAATCCAGTAAACACAAATCATTATGTATGCTCTTATATACTTGTATATTAAAGCCATACTAAACAGCTTTAGGCCAGCCCTGGTGTGAATGAATACACTTTAGCAAAGAGCTCTTAAAACCGTGTTTACGGAAGTAATTTACAGTAGAATGATCTAGGTGTAACCTGTCATTAAGGTATTCAGCAGCAAAATACCAACGTTTTACAAAGTACAAATTCATGGCATCATGAACATGAATAATACAAAAAGTATTAAAGAGGGGAGTGGTGAAAAAGCTCTAAATAACAGAATGTGTTACATTGTAAAAAAACCAAAACAAAAGAATAAAATAAATTAGAAATGCACTGTAGTTAATGAGGACAAAAGAAAAATGAACAAACTCCTCCTAGACTATTAGTAAAATTCACACGCAGAGGGTGACACCTAGTGGTGAACACAAAAATATCACAAAACAAAGATGTTTGTCGGGTAGTGTCGAAAGCTAAACCAGTTTCAAAACATCTGAATCTAAAACATACAAAAAGGAATTGCAATTTCACCTACAGCAAATACCCCCCCAATTTTTTTTTTTTTTTTTTTTTTAAAGAGAACTGAACTAATAGATACCAATAGATATTTGCAGAATGGGTGACATGGACAAAACCATGAATATAATAAATAATTTTTATTTGACAAAAAGAAATTAAAAAGAATGCTTAGCGTGAGAAGAGGAGATGGTGAGATGACGAGTAGGGAGTAAAGGGGGTTTAATAAATAAAAAAGTAAAAAACATGCAAAGGAGATAAGAATTTCCATTGTGGAATTGTAAGAACATATTCAATGAGATACCAGAGATGCAATAGTGTGCGCGCCATGTGTCTACAAACACCTACACACAGTTTCCTTTTCCACAGTGGGAATTGTTGAGAATTCAAAGTGAATGCCAAACTCAAGTCCAAAATAGGAGAACTGGAACAAAAATCTCCAAGTCAGCTATGCTTACACGTAAGCTATTTTGGCCTTAAAGGGACAATATCTGCTTCATCTCATTGAACTTGTTATAGTGTCTGGAGTCCCCTGGTGCTGTCATTTCACTTAGCATTAAACAGTTTTGTTTTGAACAGCTGGTTTTGAACAGGGCATGGAATCTCATGGGACTAACTGGGTGGAGCCCAACCATCTTTAAATCTCACTAGCCGCCACTAATGAGGTGTATTTTTTTTTATCTAGCGTGGCAAGTATGGATGTTGGTGTGTAATAATAAAAGTGGTGTGTGAATGCAGGTTGATTTTCTTTTAGCCATCTTCCTGTTTACATTCCTTTAGAATAAGGAGGGTGGCTATACTGGGTCCAGTGGGAGTTTTCTGTGGTAATTAGGAGAAAGCAGGTTGGGGTTTAGTGACATTGAACAGAGGTTAGGGCGTATAAAAGCTGCAGCTCTATGTTTCAAGTGGAATTAACATGTAAACACTTGCTGCCAGCACACCACCATATTGGGAAACAGCCAATTTGACAAGGGTCCAGTCCAATGAGCTGGTAAAGGACCACTGACCACTTACAGTGTGAGGGCCTATCTACTGGGCTGTGGGTCCTGGGGCAGCTGCATCCAGTGGTGCTGCCCATGCCCAGAAAAAAAAAAAAAAAGTACAGTAACTGCCTCTCAGCCCCCAGAACTACATATCCCAGACATCGGATGATAGAACTTTTACACTCCTGAGCAAAAGAGATATTTCCACAAGTAAATATTTCTTACTCCAACCAGTTTTTACACTTTCCTTTTATTTGTTCTTAATGTCCTACTGTGCACTGGTCATTTAGACATCCACAATTTTTGGGTAAAACACATAAAAGTAAAAAAATAAAAGTTAAAACTTAGAATCCAGTGTCAGGTCAAATTATCCCTAAACCATTCATCGCCTTATCTGTCATAATGCCTTATCTTTTTTCCAGTCTGAGGCCAAATCAAATGCATCTCATAGGAAAGCATTGTTGGACATTTAACGCATGCAACAAGACCTACCAATCAACTTCTTTTGATAAAGAAGCAATGAATCAAACACTTACGTAGCAGAAGCAGTGATTGATACACCTCCCATGCAATGAATAATACCAACCCATCTCCTGCCCCCAAGACAAAGCAGAGGAAGGGAGTGTGGGCAAGCGTGTGGACAAGGGGAGGGGAAATAATGGTGTAGGGATAGGCATAACATATCATGTAACAAGACAGGGAGGAGATGAATTTCATTTGTGCCAAACAGTTGAACTGCTAATAGAGTTACTTGTTAATTAAAGGTACACTATAGTCACCCGAAAAACTAAAGATTATTGTATTCGTTCTGGTGAGTAGAATCAGTCCCTTCAGTCTTTTTGCTGTAAACTGTTTTTTGTTTTGCATTACTCCAGTGGCCACTCCTCAGATGGCTACTAGAGGTGCTTCCTGAGGCAGCACGGACATTCAGTGTCAACACCCTCTGCATGGAGATACTGATCTTTCCTCATATAGATGCATTGATTCTTTGCATCTCTATGAGGAGATGCTGATTGGCCAGATCAATAATTACATTGCAGGGTTAACTCCACCTCTAGTGGTTGCCTACTAGACAGCCACTAGAGAGCACTTCCTGCTTCATAGCACAGGTTTTCTGTGCTAGAGATCTCCGCAGCCGGGATCAGTTTCGCCCACCGGCCGACGTAATTAAGAGGAGGAGCGGCGGCGACCCAAAACCACCGCCAAGGGACATTGGCAGGGGTCTCAAGTAAGTGACTGAAGGGGTTTTCACCCCTTCAGCAACCGGGGATTGGGAGTGAGAGGGGACCTGCAGTGCCAGGAAAACTTATTGTTTTCCTGGCACTGGAGAGTCCCTTTAAAGTGTTGAGTGTGTTGTACCTTTTTGATATACATTTATTGTTTTTGTTCACCGTAGCTTCACACTTTCTTAGTCAGGCAAGTGCTCTCATATTCATATTTTGTAAGCAGAAAGGACTTTCAGCAGACTAGGCTGAAGTTGGTTTCTCATTTGTGTTTTTACATGAAGAACGCTGTCCCTTTTTATGAATTGGTTTATATACTTGGTTAACTTAATCTAACTTTTTATTTTTAATTACCATTTATTTGAATAGGCTCTGCCCCCAATCTGCCTCCTTGACAAGTTCAGCCAATTCAATGCTTTCCTGTGTGAAAGCATCGTGACTGTCTCAGATGTTTCTGACCCTATATTGTTCATTTAAGTCATGTATGCCAGAGGTGTAATTTAAGAGTTAAATCACTTTTGTTTGTCTATGCAGCCCTAGCCACACCTCCCCTGGCTGTGACTGACACAGCCTGCAAAAAATAATTATTTTTTTTTTAAATCAGATGTTAACTTGAACTTCAAATCACACACAGGAACCTTGTGCAAGTTTCTAGCAAGATATAAACTGTGCAAGAGATACCAAATTGTAAAATAAAACAGACTGTGCAATAAAGGAAATTTAACCTGCCAGGAAGTGTTTAGGAAGATTTTGCGTTTTACATTCAAGTAAGCGTGACTAGGACCGCAACGAGAACACAGGGGTGCCCCAAAATGTTTCGCCGGTGCTATTATCATATGAGAAATAATTGTGCTTCGCCTCGCTCCCCCATGCCGGCTCTGTAGGACCAAAGGGGAGATCATAAATCTCCATCATCTGCCCTCTAGCACTGAAGTGCTGCAGCCGAATGGGGAAGGAAAGTAGACCAGGAGGAGCTCTGCAGTTCCGCCTGGTTCTCCTCTCACAAGCTTGGAGCGCTGACGCGGTTATTTAAATAACCTTAAATGTTAAGATTATTTAAATAATAATCTTAATTTTAATATTAAGTATTTAAATAATCTACCAGTGCCATTCCCGAGACTAGGTTCTGGATCTGCCCCTGACAGGGAAACATTTCTGCTGCACAGGGGCCGAGTATATGGCACAGCGCTGTACATGTATACAATCTAGAATTTTTTTTGACTTGGGGTACCCTAGAAAAATATTAAGGGCGCCTTGAATTTAAAAAGTTTGGGAACTACTGTTATAGACATAACAAATCAATCCCACTATTTCATTAACCCTGGCATGTATCATGTTTTATTCATCCTTCCCAACATGGTACACAAGTACTAATACATATATATATATATATATATATATAAATAAAATACACAAAATCCAGCGCACTCACCTATCCACTAAACAGCAACTTCAATGTTGAAAGATTTTATTTGTTTTTTTAAAAACACCTAATCTAGGCAAAAATAATGGGGGTTTAGTTACATTATATGATCATACATTGCATAAGCCTGCCACAACGTCAATGTACCCCATCTTTGGCAGGTCCTACACTAAAAGCCTAATGTCTGCTCTTATGAGATTAACCTACTTGGGGAAAAAAAGGTGAGTGCGCTGGATTTTGTGTATTGTATTATTTGCCCCCCAGCAGCACCCCCATTTATGCATGTTAAGGTGAGTGCAGCCAACCCCCTCTTGTTTTATATATATATATATATATATATATATATATATATATATCCTGGCACAATATAAAAAAAAAATAATGATACTACAAACTCCTGAAAAAAAAAAAAAAAAACTTATGTAAGTGTATGAAATACCCTGTAAATAAATGTTGAATTAATTATTAAGTGAGCTTCAGAGCTAGTTATTCTGATTTGTTAATTTTTTTTTTTTTTAAACTAACAAAAACCACTTACCATTTCTATGATTTTCGTTTTTCTTCCAGTTTTCTTCTTCACAGTGAAGATATATTGAGCCAGCACCACTCCTCCAACCAGAGCACACATACTGGCACTGGCCACAGCTCCCATTTTTGCTACTGATGATCGGTCCATGGCAACCAAACAACGTTACACACTATGTATGTAGATTGTTTTAGTAACTAGTCAGAGGTGCATATCTCTGTGAACAATATTAGGCTTTATTTATCTAAGTTAAACATACGTGTTTACAGGGCAAAGCTTAAAATACTACTAAAGTTAATGATCACTCACCTATAACATTAAAAATTGAGTACTAGATATGTATGACCTCGTCCCATGTGCTGCTTGCCACTATATTGCACATATTCTGTATGTACAATAAAACATACATCAATAGGTGTACGTGTGCTGTATATATAATCTATCATAGACCCTAATGATGTGGAAAGGTTACTGGCTTCCCTTGAAATTAAAAAATGTCCCTTATAGTAAACCTGTTATCCGTTAGACATGACAGCCGGTGGCAGAGAAAACAAAACTGCTGCTCATGTCCCCTGTCTCACAATGTGCGTCACTCTGCTGCCAATAGATTATTCCGCTTCCGGCGTTTCACGCCTCGTTACCAACACAAACTAAAAGGAAGCTGCACTCCTATTGGTGGATATGCTAACTGACAACCGTGTAGGTCACGTGGAAAGATGTTGGTGTGGGAAGAGTGGCGTTCAGGCAGCGGCGTTCACGTCGTTGCCTTGGTAATTCATTATACCCGTACATACAAGGCACCAATACGCATGCGCAACGTGCTCCGGGTTTGTTTTGTTAAAGTGTTGAGTGTGTTGTACTTTTTTGATAACCATTTATTGTTTTTGTTCACCGTAGCTTCACACTTTCTTAGTCAGGCAAGTGCACTCATATTTTGGAAGCAGAAAGGACTTTCTGCAGACTTGGCTGAAGCTGGTTTCTCACTTGTCTTTTTACATGAAGATTGCTGTCCCTTTTTATGAATTGGTTTATGTACTTGGTTAACTTCAACTAACTTTTTATTTTTAATTACCATTTATTTGAATAGGGATCATACACACAGTTTACCTGTTGCTTTTTACATAAATATTGCTGCCCTATATAGTAAAACAAATGTTTTATGTCTGGTAGGCAATAATTTGCATAAATAACTTAGACCACACAACACAGATATCGTTTATTTTATTTCAATGGGTTTGGCCATGGTGTTTATTAAAGCTTGAAAATGGGGCATACCACCAGTAACATGATAACGGTAACATATTCAGGTAGACTTTTAACTTAACTTCAAAACTTTTCTCTTAACTTCAACTTTTACTTTCACCATCACTTAGTGCCAGTCAATCATAGCTAACCTGACCGCCTTATAAATACAACCATTTATCACCATCACTTAGTGCCAGTCAGTCATAGCTAACCTGACCGCCTTATAAATACAACCATTTAACACATATCCTGCCTCAGAACTTGAACCTCAGGATGACTTTTGCCCCGCCGCCTCAGCTGGGGTAGGACTATCCCAGCTGAGGCCCCCCACAGCCAGGACCCTTTTTCCAATCATGTTTTAGATCCAGATTAAAATATCCGGACCGATATAGCACAAATGAACCTGGCCTTCATAAAAAAAAATCGTGGCAAATCTTGACCTTGCCAAATTCAACTTACCACTCATCTTCTCAGCGCTTTTAACTCTTGGTTCACTTAACCATCACCAGCGCTGGACCACCTCTGACCAAACTAGAATGGTGTAAGGAAATAATTTTTTTTTAAATACCAAACAAACATTTTTCTTTACCTTACGTGATAACTGTTGGGGTTTAACCTTTCCAATGTATTGTGACGCCATCTCGATTGAAGTCCAAATTCGGTCCATAAATTCCTGCTCCTGCCCTTACATGGCCTGCTTTACAAAAAAATGACCCATAACCAAAACATTTGTTACGGAAATAATAATAATAACAGAGTGAAAGGATGAAAACAAACATTACATCATGTCATTCCGCACATATAACTTAAAACAATTTGAATCCTGTCCCCAATTCCTTTTATAGCCTCTGCTCCAAATACAAAAAAGTTTGTTGCTTCAGATGCTACCCCAATTCTGAAGGAATGAGTAGTAAATTTGCCTTTGTAACCAAGTCCTTCAAAACATCACTGCAAAACCTTCTGAAATTGAGAACATGTTAGAATAGAGCCTGAGGTATGCCACTAGCAGCAGGCTTACATATGCACGCATCGTCTCCGATGGGCAAACTCTGCCTTTTCAAATTGATCGGTTTTAAGATTGCAACCAACATCTACTTTTGCGTCCCTGCTCAACACATTCTTAAACCGAAACCTGATAGTCCAAATCTACTGCAAGAAACCAGCTCACTGATCCTAAGTGCTGCAAAAGGCTAAATAAAGTGCTGCTGAAAACAAATTTACTTTGAATTGCGAATGGCAAACAGTGTTTCAAAACTTCAAGCAGCTCTCCAAACACTGAATATATTATGGGCCGAATATATTATGGGCCGATTATCGTCAGCCATATGAAGCGTTTTAAAATAACCTTTTAACAACTGTTTACTCACAAATGCACCACTACTGGTCTACCCAAAACCTCAAATGTGTTACCAGCTAAACGCCTGGAAATTACATCTTTTTTTTTTTATTTGCTATACCACTGCTAATACACTGAACCACAAAAGAGAATGCAGCTTCTATATTTCAACCTACTGGATCTATTTGTATGTAATTTATACCCTTCATTCCATGCTGACACATAAGCACTCCAACTGCTTTCATGAGAAATTGCCCGGCTCTTCCCATATGACTTGCCAAGAGCCTTTCGGCAATTCCACGCACTTTTCTTCTGCATCCGGCACTAAGCTCCTGAAAGCGTGGAGCTGCAACGAAAATAGCATCAGCTATTATTCTCAATACCCGGAATATGCACAGCCTTCCACCAAATATTATGTTTCAAAAATAACAACACTAGATTTCGCAACAAATTAATAACAAAGCAACTTTTAGAATGCATAGAATTAAAGACCTGTACAACTGCCTTATTGTCACAGTGGAACAATATTTGTTTATTCTGCAGTTCTTTAACTCATACCAAACTTGCTGCTACAATTGGTAACAATTCCAAAAGGGGGTTACATTCCTGGTCAACCCTTGCTGTACCCATTTATCTGGCCACTAAGCAAAGGCCCATTTCTAGTTCTAAATATGCCAAAACCAACTGACCCCGCAGCATCCGCAAATAATTCTAAATCTAATTCTAAATCTTCCTTATCATGAAAATTCTGTTTGCAATAATAACAACCATTGCACTGCTGCAGAAAATGCCCCCACACTTTCGAGTCTTTCTTAATTTCTGCAGAAATCCTTACAAAACAGTGAACAGATTTTCTTTTAACACAAGCCAGCGCCATTCACCTACAAAATTTTCTATAGGCATAATACGACTTGCAAATGCTAATAGGCCTAATCATTGACTGAACTGCTTCACTGTTGCTTCCGTCATCCGTTTACCTTCAAAGCCCTGAAACAATTGTTATCCCTAAAATTGAAGACTTGTCACTGGCTGCAATGTCCTTTTTTGTCTAAACTACAGAAAAACTCTAACAACCTAACATATTCAGAAACAGAACTAGGACCAATAAACAAAAGTCATCCCGATATTGTACAATAGAATATAAACCGGTCTCCACATTAACAACTTATTCTAAAAATGCCGAACAGCTTCAAAGAACAGGAAATGGAACAACCCATTGGTAAACATTTATTAAAATAAAACTTGCCAAGGAATGAAAATCCCAACGAATTGAAACCCTCTGGATGCACCATTAATAGCCCATAGTCTGTTCTGGGACCCCTACTATTTAACATATTTATAAATGATCTTGAAGACAGCATTGAAAGTCATGTTTCAGTGTTTGCAGATGACACACAACTTTGTAAAATAATACAATGTGAGCAAGATATTACTTTGCTGCAGAGGGATTTAGATAGACTGGGGGACTGGGCACTCCAATGGCAGATGAAATTTAATGTTGAAAAATGCAAAGTTATGCACTTCGGCGTAAAGAATACACAAGCAACATATACCCTTAATGGAAGCGAATTAGGGATAACAACACACGAAAAGGACTTGGGAATTGTTATAGACAACAAACTATGCAACAATGTTCAATGTCAATCAGCAGTGGCCAAGGCCAGTAAGGTATTGTCATGCATGAAAAAGGGCATTCATTCTCGGGACGAGAATATCATTTTGCCTCTTTATAAATCACTGGTAAGACCCCATATTGAAAATGCTGTGCAATTTTGGGCACCTGTCCTAAAGAAGGATATTATGGCACTAGAAAAAGTGCAGAGGTGGGCTACAAAATGAATATAAAGAATGGAACATATCAGCTATGAAGAAAGGTTAACAAATTTAAACCTATTTCGTTTAGAAAAACGTTGCCTGAGAGGGGATATGATAACATTATACAAATATATTCTGGGCCAATACAAACCATTGTGTGGAAATCTATTCACAAACTGGACTTTACGTAGGACATGAGGCCATGCGTTTAGACTGGAAGAAAGAAGATTTAGTCTAAGGCAAAGGAAAGGTTTTTTTACTGTAAGAACAATCAGGATGTGGAATTCTCTGCCTGAAGAAGTAGTTTTATCAGAGTCCATACAGATGTTCAAACATCTACTAGATGCATACTTGCAAAAATAGAATATTCAAGGACATAATATTTCAATGTAATAACTGCTTGATCCAAGGATAAATCTGACTGCCATTCTGGGGTCAAGAATGATTTTTTTTCCCTAGCTTGTTGCAAAATTGTGCTTCAAACTGATTTTTTTTTGCCTTCTTTTGGATCAACAGCAAAAAACAAATGTGAGGAAGACTGAACTTGATGGACGCAAGTCTCTTTTCAGCTATGTAACTATGTAACTTGATGGAATGTTTCGCCTGCCCAAGCCATCAATGCCCTCAAGTGCAGCTACCAGCGACCTATTAATTAAGTTCCAGAATGGGCAGGATAAGGCAGCCTTCATGGAAAAATCCCTATAGGCTTGAGGACATGGACTTGTCATTCTACTCTGACCTCTCTTGCAATACCCTGCTCTGGAGGAAATCCCTCCGACCGCTGACAACAACACTGATAGCTAAGGCGGTGAAATATTGCTGGGGACCTACGCATATACTCTTAATTCAGCACCAAGATACCGAACATAAAGTGGCAGACATCGCTGAGATGGACACTGTCCTAGCGGCCCTGGGCCTCTCAGCCCCACCCTCCTCTACAACCTGCGACCCAGCTAAAATTGTCCCATTCATTCCTGCTTCCCGAGGAGTACTTTGGATGGAGGCCACTTGACACACATGCCTATATATTATCTACATGTTATCTATCTCTGTGTTGGACTTAGCCCTCATTTAAATGTTAGTTGTATGACAATAACTGTTTTAGATACCACACATACTTGTGCAATGACCACTAACTAAGGCCAAATATGGCCGAGACCGGGAATACCCCTGACAGGCTGGCTCCATTTTTATTTTATTTTTTAATTTCTTTATTTTGTTCGTGCAGGTATAAAACATGCAATTTGCACTGCCACAATAGCTGGTGCAGATCGATTGGCATTCACATATGTTTACATGGCATCAAAAACATTGCACTTTTTTTTTTTTTTTTTTAAAACAAACAGGTTTACATCGTGTACTTCCTAACCACCTAGAAAGGAACATTCGCTTTGCTCGACGATTGATAGCGTTGGTTAGGAAAAGGTAGGGGTAAAGGTCATGTTAAAACATCGCATTATAGAATTGTGTCAATGACAAATGGATTAATGCCTGTCATCCTCTTATTAATGCTCAGTGTGTTGAGACAAGATAAATAAAACAGAACTAGTGTGATAAACAACCAAGAGTTAATACACGAGACGGTAGCAGTATGACATATAGGTATTATATGCGTGAAAAGCACAGTAAGTGGAGTAACAGGACATTAATCTAGCAGAGGTATCAACATACTGTGTGTTGCTAGCTAAGTGTTTGGATGCATGCCTATGTAATGTGGTACAGTTATAACGTCAGAGTGAAAGTAAATAAAACAATTATTGCTTAGCAATGCTATATTAGCTATACCAGTACCTGCATAATCTAGGCATAAGTACTTTCTGCTTTATCAAGGATTAACTGGTCTAATTAAAATAACTGTTAACGTACATGACTACTGCATCATCTCGGCTTTTTGGCGGCATGGCACTGGAGTAGCATTGCAGCCCATCAAAGGTGTAGGCATTAGGAACAGAGCTAACAACAATTAAAGACATGCTGGAATAATGTTAGACTGTGCCTCTGGGTCTCGGTGGCAGGCTTCCTGTGTGGAAGTAGCACCGGTATGCCCCAAGAACAGAGTAGTCGGTGGAAACATAGGCAAACACATGGGAGAATGGACACAAGAACAGTCACGAAATACCACTGGTTAAGGCCAGTCTGGGGTGCACTAGCGTCCTGAGGTCTGTTGGCTGTCCGGTGGCTGTATGCCTTGAGATCAGCCTATGCCTGTGTGCAAGCGTTTCTGACCGCCGCGATAATTGTGACCTGCTGTATGATTCAGGGGTAATGGTGTGTGTGGACCCCATGGGATGTGGTGCTGCATGGCGGCGTCTGGCTGGACGTCTGTCCTCGGCTTGCCGTCTCCGCCGATATTGTCGTTGGTTCGTGGGAGGCTTCCCTGCATTGCGTGCCCGATCTCTCCTGTTCAGTGCCCGTACGAGCGCCACTTGCCTTGCTCAATGAATTATCGCGGCCTGGGAGCAATCCGGTATGGATCTCAGAGTATCTGGTGCCTCGAACTTAGGGCCTTCTGTGGTAGGTTGTGCCATTGTCTGGCCTTGTGTTGCAGGGCCCAGTACCATCGCCATCTTGTAATTCTGTTGTCCCTCACATCGTGGAGGCTTTGAAGAGCACTTAGAAGCGTTCTCACGGACCGGGATAACCCCCCCCAGTCCATGGGGGGGAGGGGCAAGGTGTTTTGGGAGTGCCCCCTTGTCCTCCAGAGAACCGGGAGAGCGGCCGTCTCTCCTCGGCTCCCACTCGCACAGGCTGCTGGCCTCGATTTGGTCCGCCTAGTGCTAGGGACCCAAGAATTGGGTATCCCCGGGTGCCCTGCAGTCTCCTTAGCACGCTCATTGCTTGTAGCAGTCCGTGTGATATACCCAGAATCTGGGCTCCGGACTCAGGAGCTCTTGATTTGTGTGTCTATCCCGCTTGAGAGTCAGGCTCCGCCCCGAGGCTGGCTCCATTTTTAACAACCACCCCCAGCTCCCATCATGTGAATCCATACTACTCATACTAATGTGGAGCTGTTTATTTTACGCATTAGGATGCACATCAGATCAGTCTACCTAAATATAACGCTCACTGTTGTAATTGCTATGTACCAACCCTCTCCTAACAGTTAACTACCGGAGTTTCCAACATGGCTTATTGTTACGGCCCCTGGTTCGCCGCGAGGTGCGGTTGTGCCCGACCGGCACAACCACACAGACGAACGTAGCTTACCTGCTCAGCGGCGAGTCGGGAGCTGCTCCGCCGGCTTTTCCTGGCTGCCTGCCCTAAAGAAAAATGTGGTCGCGGCCATTTTTTCCCCGCACCCCAGGGTCATACGAACGCACGTTCAGGGGTCAGAGGTCACCCTCTAACCAATCACAGTCAAAGGAAGGATATTTAAATCCCTGAAGCTACTCAGTTCATTGCCCTGTCGTGGTTTCCTGTCCTGGTTCCTGAGAGTGCGTTTTCTGTTCCTATTATTGTTATTCCCGGTATATTGACCTTGGCTATTCTGATTTCTGGTTTCCCTGACTTGGCTTGTTTAACGGTATTGTGTATTTCTGGCTTCCTTGATCTCGGCTATCCCTTGACCATTCTCTGTCTTTAACATATTAGTCCGGCCATTCTAAGGACCGGTTTACGTTCTGTCTTTTTCCGTTCTATGTAGATGTTACATAGTTCTGCGTGCTGGACCAAACTAGCTGTGACATTACGACAGGGCCATGGATCCTGCAGAATTATGTAAGCATATGATAGCTTGTGAGGGCAGAGTGGAGGATGTAGACCACAGGTTGGATCAATTTGGTCATGCATTCCAGACCAAAGAATGGCTCATCTTGAGTCGCCTCCAGTACAGCCGGTTGCTCCTCCACCAGTGACTACTATCTACAAACCCCCCTCCATAACTCTTTCTCCTCCTCCTCATTTTGGAAGTGATCCTAAAGAATGTAGGGGGTTTCTCAACCAAATAGAATATCATTTTGAAGCTTCTCCTGTTTTTTTCCCAACTGACTGGTCTAAGATTGGTTACCTTATGAACCAGCTAAGGGGTAGGCCCTTAACCTGGGCTAACACTTTATGGGAGAGCGGTAATTCTATCGCCCATGATTATAAGATATTCCTAACTGAATTCAAGTCAACTTTTGAACCCAAAGGAAAAGAAAAGAATGCTGCTAAATCAAGGCAATCAAGCAAGGCTATCGTTCTGTGGCTGATTACGCCATTGAGTTTAGGACGCTGGCCTCTGAAGAAGACTGGACTAACAGTGGTTTAGTCACTGCCTTTTCAGAGGGCTTAGCTGAAAACATATTAGATGAGACAGCCGCTAGAAACCTCCCTGTCAATCTTCATGAATTCATCTCCTATATGATTGACATAGACAATATATTGTGAGAGAGAGAGAAAAGCAAACAACAAACAAGGCGTACCAACCCTCTCTAGCCCCTCGTTTCTCTAATACAGTGGTATCTAGTTCTGTTCCGGCCTCAGAAGTTGAACCCATGCCGTTGGGTATAGCAAAAATTTACTGAGGCAGCAAGACAACATAGGAGAAACAAGAGTTTATGTCTCTATTGTGGTAAAAAAGGTCATTTGAGAAGTTCCTGTCCGGTACGTCTAGAAAACTTGCACACCTAAAGTATGATCGGGGACCGACCTCAGGTGTGATGTATATGTCCCCTAAATTGACTAAGAGTCGTTTCCTGGTGAAACTGAAGATGCAGTACAATAACATTACTATTCAGTGTGAGGACATGATCGACTCTGGGGCAGCGGAGCGGAGTATTTCATTGATAGGAAAGTCCCTGCTAAACATCTCTTGCCACTACGGCAGAGAGACTGACCTATAGCGGTTGAGGCTATTGATGGAAGACCTCTTACACAACCTCTTATTAACCAAGAGACCTTGCCTACCACTGTTCTAGTAGGTATATTGGTTTTCCAAATTATTTCTTCTCTTTCTTGTCCCATAATGCTCGGTTTCCTGTGGCTCCAGAGACACAATCTCCACTTAGACTGGATTAAAGGGTGGGGGAAAAATTGCAAGGGCCATTGTAAGAGTTATATGCCACAGCGTATTGGCATTGTTAATGTACCTACTGCACCTCCCTTGTCTAGAGAAGTTCCACCCCAGTATGTGGAAGTGAAGGAGGTTTTCAATAAAGTACAGTCTGAGACATTACCACCTCATCGGTCTTATGACTGTGCTATTGACCTCCTACCATGCCTCCAAAAGGGGGAGTTTATGCCTTATCGCCTCAAGAAACCATCTGTATGGAGGAGTATATAAAAGATGCTTTAAGAAAGGGTCATATACGGAGATCCTCCTCTCCTGCTGGGGTTGGGTTTTTCTTCGTCTCTACAAAAAGAGGGAGACCTACGCCTCTGCATTGATTACAGAGGTCTCAATAAAATAACTATCAAAAACAACTATCCAATTCCCCTTATTTCTGAACTATTTGACAGGCTCAGAGGTGCTAAAGTATTCATGAAACTTGACCTTTGGAGCGCATATAACTTTGTCAGAATTTAGGAGGGGCATGAGTGGAAGACAGTGTTCAATACCAGAACAGGACATTATGAGTATCTGGTTATGCCGTTTGGTTTGTGCAATGCTCCAATGGTATTTCAAGATCTGATTGCAAGCTAGAAAAGTGCCAGTTTGATCAGACCGAAGTACATTTCCTCGGATATGTTATATCTTCCTCTGGTTTTAAAATGAATCCACGCAAACTGGAAGCAGTATTACAATGGCCACTACCCAAAGGTAGGTTCCTGTCCTGGTTCCTGAGAGTGCATTTTCTGTTCCTATTATTGTTATTCCCGGAACATTGACCTTGGCTATTCTTGACTACTCTGATTTCTGGTTTCCCTGACTTGGCTTCATTGGTTTCCCTGACTTGGCTTCAGCGATTCATTGGATTTGCTAATTACTATCGCAGATTCATTAAAGGTTTCTCATCTGTAATCACTCCTATTACTAATCTTACCCGAAAAGGAGCTAACTGTAATTCATGGCCAAAAGAAGCAATAGAGGCTTTTGACAAATTGAAGTCTTTATTTGTTTCAGAACCTGTTTTAGTACATACCGATCCCACCAAACTTTTTATTTTAGAAGTTGATGCGTCAGAGAGAGGTGTAGGGGCCATCCTGTCTCAACGAGAAAACCCTGATATTCCTATGCATCCCTGTGGGTTTTTCTCCAAAAATGCTGAGAAAAGCTATGCCATCGGGAATAGAGAGTTATTGGCCATTATTCTAGCTCTTAAAGAATGGAGGTATCTCTTAGAAGGTTCCAAAGAGCCACTTTTGATTTTTACGGATCATAAGAATCTAGCTTATATCGGGGACGCTAAGAGATTGTCTTCCAGAGGCTAGATAGTCACTATTTCTTGCACGGTTTAATTACGTTATTACTTATAGACCCGGCACCAAAAACACTAAGGCAGATGCATTATCCCAACAGTATGAGACAGATGAGATATCTGAACAAGAAATTTCTCCTATTGTACCACCAGAGTGTCTTATTGCTACAACAGTTTACGAAGTGTCTTCTCCGCTCCTTTGTTGATTTTCCAAGATGGTGCATTTTATACCTCTCAAAAAATTACCATCATCCCAAGATCTTGACTAAATATTCTTGCGCAAAATCTTTAGGCTTCATGGGATACCAAAGGGCATAGTCTCTGACAGAGGAACCCAATTTGTTTCTCGATTCTGGTATGTATGCCACTGTTATGAGGGAGTTAAGAGTAGGAACCTTGAAGGAATGTGGTGCTGATAGGTAAATTATCAATCTGTGTTTATGTGAAGATTTACCAGTGACTATACCTATAGGATTTGTCCCCCAAGAAGTAAAAGGAGGGGACCTAAAGTGCTCGAAAACAAATTCCTGTTCCAACTCAGTCTTTATCAATTTATCCACCAATTCTGGATCTGCTAGCGATGCCTGCAAATTATTGCATTTCAGCGTATCAGATGGCAAATGTATGATACTATTGTGAAACCTCCGCAATAACTAATCTAAGAGAAAGTTAACCAATTGTTGTGAGGGTTGGTACCGCAAATAGTTCAGCAAAACACATAACATTAAAAATTATTAAAAAGGGGGGCGTGGCCTGGCGACGGTGCTGAGCGGCCGCATGTACTGAGCGCTCCGCTCCGACAGGACCCACAGGAGCAATAAGGCGGCTGCAGCCGACGATAAAACCGGGGACACTTATCCCCAAGCAAGCATGTCTCAGGCTAAGGGGAAACGGCAAATAGAAAAGGCCGAAAAAAACGCTTTTTTCACCTCCCGGACGCCGCAGGGGAAGCAGGCCTTGGTGCAGGATGAAATCCAAGATGGCGCCGAAGACCAGGATGAACAGCATAGTAAGTCCCCTGAGAACGAAAACCCTGTCACACAGCAGGTAATGCGGACACTACTAGAAGAAATGTCTGCCAGGCTGGAAAACAGCTTTAAAACAGCAATAGGGGCCATGCATAAAGATATCCAAGAGCTGGAAGTGAGAACAACCGGCACAGAAAAAAAAATGGAGGAGCTAGTTGAAGCACATAAAGGTATAGAGGGAGAGGTGGAAGAGATCCGCAGCCAAATGAAAATGTATGAACTAAAGCTTGCTGATATGGAAGACAGAGCCCGCAGAAACAATCTAAGAATACGTGGGATAAAGGAGGAAGTGGGACAAGCAGAACTGGCAACTTATTTGACTGCCATGTTGAAAAAACTAGCACCTGATATACCAACAGATCAATTGCTGATGGACAGATACCATAGAACAGCTAAACCCAGCTTCCTGCCACAAGACACCCCGAGAGATGTCCTCATAAAGATGCACTATTATCACGTAAAAGAAGTGATACTCCAAACGAGCAGGGCGAAGAAGAAACTCCCCGAACCTTATGGGGGATTGCTGATCTTCGCGGACATATCATCATATACACTAAAAAGAAGGAGGGACTTCAAGGACATCACGGAACAGCTCAGGACCCACAAGCTCCCTTACCGGTGGGGATACCCGGTGAAAATCCTGGTGTCCAGAGGCGGGAAGATATCGGCCATAACAACACCTGAGGAAGGATCTCGATTGCTACAGCGTTGGGGCATAGCCGAGCAGAGCCAGAGAAGAAGCCCGAATAGGACAGGCGGTTCCTCCACGAACTGGAGAAAAGCCTGAAAGACTATGTCATTGGACTCATAGACTGCATACTATACCAAGTGATTGTGGTGAGAAAGGTCATGATGCAACGACCATGGAGGAGCGTAAGGGTATCGTATAAAACTAAGCGACTTACTGAGGTTATGACACAGTTAGATAAATTGAGGAAAAAAAAACAAAAAAAAAACACACACACAGTTTTAACTGTTTACGTATATAAGACCTCACAAGTGGTAAATCACTCCAGTAGGGTAGCCTGGGACCAGACTGCCTAGACGCCATGACAACCATGACGGCACAGGAGTGGGCCAAGTCGGGGAAGCACCCCACCAAGAGGAAGTAGTAGTACTTCCACCCCCCAGAGGTACTAAATTGTACCTATGCCACATACGGCACACGTCACATTTTTGTTAAGTTCATTTACCCTGTTACTGTTATGTTCCCAATTTCCCCCCGGTCTGGCTGGGACCGGACAATATATAACCTTCCCCATATGCCCGCAGGACGCTTATACGAAACATCAAGCACAAGGGACTCTGGTACCCAATAATGTCCGCAAGGGCTCCCAATCACCCACGAATAGGCGAGAGAGGGGTGCCCGAATCTTACCCTCCAAGAGGGGGAAATCGCTCGACTTGATGCTGCTGGGGCGAGCGAACTCCCCGCACAGGTGCTTACAATTCAGTATGTCCCTTACTAAACTAACGGGGTACAGACCCCCATGAAAATATACTCGTTAAATGTTAGAGGGTTAAACCTACCGGTTAAGAGACACCAATTGTACAGAGACCTTAAACAAGCGGATGCGGACGTTGTTTGTATACAAGAGACGCATTACAGGACCGATGACTATATCCCACCATCTGTACACGATTACCCACACCAATACCATGCGGCTTCCACTACAAAGTCCAAAGGGACTTCCATACTAATATCTAAAAGAGTGGCTTTCACAATGATTTCAGTAGAGCTAGACACAAATGGGAGATATGTTATATTGAAATGTACGATTAACAACATGCTGTACACCATCACGAATCTTTATTCACCTAACACAAATCAGGGCGGGTTCCTACAACACCTGTTACAGAAACTGTCCACAATTCAAGAGGGAATGTCCATTATATGCGGGGACTTCAATCATGTGTGGGACCCAAAGTTGGACTCCAATACCCCACGCCACAGCCCAAGATATAAAATACTACACAGACAATGTAAAAAAATACAACACCTCCTATCCCTACACCACTACTTTGACACATGGCGGATAGCCCACACATCGGAGCGGGCATATACCCACTTCTCACATGTCCACAACACATATTCAAGGATCGATGGGATCCTAATCCACGGACAGGCCCTTAACCAAATGGCTGACTGCGAAATAGGCCAAATCACTTGGTCAGACCACGCACCAATTACGCTGACGGTCAAAGACCAATATGATTATAAACAACGCAGCCCATGGCGGTTGAATGCCTCCTTACTGTATGATAGCACATTTAAAAAGGAAATAGAGGCCACAATCTGTAACTACTTCTCAGAAAATACCACTCCAGATGTGTCTAAGGGCACAATCTGGGCGGCACACAAGGCAGTAGTTAGAGGGGTCTTCATTAAAAGGGCATCATACCTGCACAAACAGTCCTCATCCCAAATTACACAATGGAGACGGGAGCTATACCAGCTGAACACACAGAACCAACACTCACCCTCTAATGCCATTAAAATGCAAATCTCCACCATTACAGCAAAACTACACCAGAAGGCGCTAGAGCAGACAGGGTTCATGCTTCAACGACTGAAGTCGCGACAATACATGCAAGGGAATAAAGCTAGTAGACTCCTAGCTAGGAGGTTACAAGAAAAAAGAGCAAACCAAAAAATTGCCTATCTCATGTCCCCCACGGGAGAGAAGAAAATGATCCCAAAAGATATATGCAATGAATTTGCTAATTATTACGCCTCTCTATATAACATAAATAAGAACGACTCTGCGTTTCACCCCACAGAGGAACACATAAACGCTTATTTGGCCACGATAGACCTCCCCAGGCTCACGCCCCAACAGGCGCAAGATCTCATAAAACCGATATCAGAGACAGAAATCCATAAAGTAATCAAAAACCTACCTAATGGCAAAGCCCCAGGCCCAGATGGCCTAGACAACAGCTACTACAAAACCTTTCTACACCAATTAGCACCCCAATTAGTACACATGTTCACAGAGGCAACCACTACACAAGCTCTCCCTACAGAGTCACTACTAGCCCATATTATCACATTACAAAAACCAGGGAAACCGCCCACTGTCCCCCAAAACTTCAGACCCATTTCCCTGCTCAATGCAGACGCGAAAATATTCGCCAAACTGTATGCAACGAGACTGAGCGCACTCCTCCCCCAGTTAATCCATTCAGACCAGGTAGGATTTGTGCTTGGGAGACAAGGAGCGGACAACACTCGCAAAGTCCTAAATATAGTACACAGTCTGCCCAGAACACACAAAGAGGGGGGCCTTGTGGTATCCCTAGACGCGGAGAAGGCCTTTGACCGCCTGCACTGGAAATTCCTGGAGGCGGTCTTGGAAAAGTTTGGGGTGCCAGGCGAATTTCGCTCGGCGGTTAAGGCGCTGTACAGCGAGCCGAAAGCTCAAGTACTCAATGCAGGATTCCTGTCGAACCCCTTTGGCATCTCCAATGGGACGAGACAGGGGTGCCCTCTGTCGCCCCTGCTCTATGTCCTAGCCCTGGAACCGCTAGCTGCCAAGATCAGGGACCATAACTCTATACATGGCGTGCGCATAGGCGACAGGGAATACAAAACCAACTTATTCGCGGACGATGTGCTCCTAACCCTGACCCAACCACTAATATCGATGCCACACTTACTAAGTGTAATAAAAGAATATGGTAAAAGTTCTTATTATAAACTAAACGTAACAAAAACCCAGGCAATGGGAATTGGTATACCCACTGAAGTGATAGGAGTGCTGAAAGAGAAATTTGAGCTGGACTGGAGAGCAGACAGTGTCACCTTCCTAGGAATAAAACTGACTAAGACAATAGGGGGACTTTTCAAGGCCAATTACGAGCCGCTGCAAAAAGAATTAGAGACCAGCTTGGCAGCATGGAAAGATAAATACCTGTCTTGGCTGGGACGGATGGCTGCATTTAAAATGTCTCTTCTCCCCAAACTACAATATCTATTTAGAACGATACCGACAGGCCTACCGTCCTCATATCTAAACAAAATACAAACAATACTCACCAAATTTGTATGGGCACAAAAGAGAGTGAGAGTAGCGGCAAAATTCCTACACAGACCAATCACCCAGGGAGGTCTAGCGTTGCCAAGTATTAAGACCTACTGTCAAGCGACATTGGTGGCCCCAGTGATAGGGATGCATACACAGTCCTCATACCCCCAATGGCTAGAAATAGAGAACCACTGGTTACAAGGAACAGACCTCCAGAAACTAATATGGGTACCTAAAAGGTTACGCCCTCCACAACCCTACATACTACCCACCACCAAAACAATGTTGGAGGCTTGGGATAGATCACAATCGACATTAGTGTCCATGTCACCATGGTCACCGGCAACCCCGCTGTCTAGCCTACATATAGCCAACAACACGTTTGATTACAGAGAATGGACCAAGAGAGGATGCACACATGTACGGGATCTCCTAGAAGGACACAACCCCAGACCATTCCCCGTCCTCCAAGAAAAATTTCAACTGCCCTCTAAATTGATATTTCCATATCTCCAACTTAAATCAATGCTAGGGGCCCAAAGACTCACAGATCAGGGGGGGGGCGAGTTCACGAGGCTGGAGAAAACGTGCATGGACAAAAAACAGAGGAAAGGGATTATCTCCATGTGCTACTCGCTTATGAACGTAGGTACACCAACACATCTAGACAGATTCAGCGAGGCGTGGCAGCTGGACCTGGGGAAACAATTTGATAACACCCAATGGGAGACAGCTGTAACAGCGCATAAGGGGAAGACATTGTGCACGTCCCACATAGAATTAATGAGGAAAGTGTACTATAGATGGTACATGGTGCCTACCAGATTGGCGAAGATATACCAGGGAACATCAGCGCTGTGCTGGAGGTGTGGGGTGTCGGAGGGCACGATGCTCCACATATGGTGGAAGTGCGGGACGATCAGACCCTATTGGGAGATGGTAGAGGACATAACTAAAGAGATGGTAGACACCAACATAAAATTGACCCCGGAATTGAGTCTCCTATTCATGAACTTAGACCAGTTTCAGGGAGCTGGGGCAATATTGGTTTTCCACATACTGATAGCGGCCCTGACACTAATAGCTAGGGAATGGAAAAACACAAAGGCACCGACTAAAAGTGCCCTGACAAGGCAAATCTCCAACAACCTACACTACGAAAAGGTAGCGAGGAAAAACTATGGCAACAGCGCCAAATTTGAGGAAGCACAAGTTAAATGGGAAGCCGCATACGCCCCCAAAGAACAGGAAGACAGCGAATAATCCCAAACCAGGGAGTCGCCCCGTAGGGGATCCCGTGAGACAAGAGATACACCCCAGGGGGTAAGAGAGAGGGCCCAAGGGATAGAGCCCAGGGAGGACAGAGGAGGCAGGCATAGGACATTGGGTAGGCCAAGAGCCAAGAGTCCTGAGCGGAGTATAAAGTCTCTATAGGGAACAGAACCGGTAGGAAAAGGGACACGCAGATCTCGCCAAATTCCTTCCCCCCCCCACCTTCCTACACTCTTCTCTCCCCACCCCACAAGTTTTACAAATCCCTTCCACGTTGGGATATTAGAGGAGAGATTCAAACAAGTAGAAGCCGGGTAACCCGGAATGAACTAGGTTGGGAAGTACAGACCATGCGAGATAAGAAAAAGCTAATGACAGTTAGTCACAATCGTAGGGTACGCAAGCAGTGACGAAGCACAGGACGGGTCTTGAACCCAATGGAAGGGAACAAGCCCAAGTCTAACACTAGGGATAGCATGTTATTGAAAAATTATTGTAATGTTATTGGAATGTAATATACCATGTAACGAAGGTTATGATGTATACTATATGCGAGAACATGTGATGTACTGCCATACTTTCCCCCCCCCGTCTCTCTTCTGTACCCCATATACCCACGTTTTTGGAAAATAAAAATTGTCAAATTGGAAAAAAAAATTATTAAAAAGAATTGTCATGTTTTAAAATTATTAAAAAGAATTGTCATGTTTTAAATTATTAAAAAGAATTGACATGTTTTAAAACTATTAAAAAGAATTGGCATGTTTTAAATAAAGCTGTTTGTAAAATTATTAAAAAGAATTGGCATGTTTTAAAAGAAGATCTGGACATTCTACCTTTTATGGGTGACCAGCCCAAATTTATTTTTAGAGGAGCAAAGAATTTTAGGCAGATTTTAACAAAAACCTTTTTAGATAAAGAAAAAAGAGACACTAGTTTTTTAGAGGGACAAATAGACTTTTATTATTGCAACGTTTGCACAGGAAGTAGATTAAGGAAAAGCTCAAGTAGAAGTGTAAAAAGTTTACATCAAGTAGAAATTTAGATGAAGAGTATAAAATTCATACATTTATTACGTGCAATAAAACAGATGTAATATATCTACTAACTCAATACCCTAACTCCAGATGGTTTAAATGTAGACTTCGAGATTACCTCTTTTTTATAATGATTTGTATGTTTTATATATTTTATATATATATATTTTATATGTATTATATATATTTTATATATTATATTATATATGTATTTTTTTATATATTTTTATTAAAGCCAATAGATTTTATAAACTTATGTGAACATTGATATGTATTTAAATTTGTTTACTATCCATCTAATGACATTTTTTCCTCTTTCTCTTCCCCCTTTCCACATTAATTGTGTTTGATTTTATTATCTGTATCCTATGTTAAATGTTTTTTATAAATTTATTTGCTCTTTTTTTGATTTCGAATGAGTTTATTATGACATTCCAGGATACACTTTTTATCACTTTTTATATTATCAAGTCCTGATGGTACAAGAATACAATATGTAAGGTTTTTTTATGGACGTTTGTTTATAATTTGTGGCACATATGTGCATTAAGAACTTTCCTATGAAGAAAACACGTCAATCCGAAATCGGAAGTTCGTCATCCAACAGAGACAGACATCAACTGCTGACCCGGAAGTGCTCCCGACGGAAGTGACGCATCCGGAAACCGGAAGTTTGTGATGATATGTAGCACTTTTGACAAAGACCATAGTTCGAAACGCATCAGTGCAGCTGATGTTTTATCGGAGATTCAGTTTATGCTGTATTTTTATGTAACCCATTAAAGATATTTGTTCCTGTATCTACCCCTCTCTTTGGCATCTATCTGGGCTATTTAAAGGGAAGTAGTGATTCTACAGCGGACATCTCTATTTGGGTTCCAGAATTTGCTCTCCAATATATTGGAAAAGGCGCTTATAGTCTGAGCCACTTTCTAACGGCTCAGCACCACGTGAGTGGGATATTTTTCTCCATTATTATTTATTTATTATATACAGGCTATACTATGTATTGTGTTTTATATTTTTAGGATGTACACAGATACAGTTGCAAGACAAAGTGTGTGAACCCTTTGGAATGATATGGATTTCTGCACAAATTGGTCATAAAATGTGATCTGATCATCATCTAAGTCACAACAATAGACAATCATAGTCTGCTTAAACTAATAACACACAAAGAATGAAATGTTGCCATGTTTTTATTGAACACACCATGTAAACATTCACAGTGCAGGTGGAAAAAGTATGTGAACCCTTGGATTTAATAACTGGTTGACCCTCCTGTGGCAGCAATAATTTCAACTAAACGTTTCCTGTAGTTGCAGATCAGACGTGCACAACGGTCAGGAGTAATTCTTGACCATTCCTCTTTACAGAACTGTTTCAGTTCAGCAATATTCTTAGGATTGAATATATTAACAATAGGTGTGGAATATGTGGCGCTGAGTAATTAATGTGAATAGTGTATTTTAGCTGCTGTTTACACTCTGTGGGTACTCCTAAAAGCCCACCATACAAAGATAAACACCAAAAAAACAAAAAAGATTTCAGACCTAATAGGTGTTACCACCCTTTAGGTCTTCTATCTTTAAGAGTGCAGCGCTGTATAGTGTGTAAAAACACAGTGAATTACCTGTGGTTCAAAGGCAATTATCCTTTATATTCTCCAATGTAATATACATACAAAAGAAAACAGAAATATATACAGATAATTGTGCAGTATATTTTTACCGGCGAAACGCGTTTTGGCTTTTAAAGTGGACTCATTATTTTTTCTGAACCACCAATACTTGAAATATTTTGTTCTTATCCAATTTTTTATTTTCTAGAAATATTTTTAGACTGTTTTTATATACATTGTAATAAATTCCCTTATTTTATACTATCCACTGTATCCAGTACCAGTGATTCCAGGGAAGGGGCAGTGTCACCCCACAAATTGACACTAGGCCTATACACTTAGAGCCAGTTACCAAAAGGCTCTAAATAAGGTGAGCACTTTAATTTTTATTTATATGAAAATATTACAAAAGGATTCTACACTTAGTTGGATAATCCTGTGTCTTTTATATACGCTGGGGAGAGGAAAATACACACAGAACCTGGAGAGAGGGGTCGTGTGATCTACCCTTAAAGACACAGACGCACGAAAGTTTAGAGCCTTATTCACTTGAAAAGGCTCTAAAAAATGTGAGTGGAGATATATATGTTACCCACTAAACACTTCACTAAAGTAATAGATATACTGCACAATTATCTGTATATATTTCTGTTTTCTTTTGTATGTATATTACATTGGAGAATATAAAGGATAATTGCCTTTGAACCACAGGTAATTCACTGTGTTTTTACACACTATACAGCGCTGCACTCTTAAAGATAGAAGACCTAAAGGGTGGTAACACCTATTAGGTCTGAAATCTTTTTTGTTTTTTTAATATTCTTAGGATGTCTGGTGTGAATCGCTTTCTTGAGGTCATGCCACAGCATCTCAATCGGGTTGAGGTCAGGATTCTGACTGGGCCACTTCAGAAGGCGTATTTGCTATCATCGAAGGTGCACCCTTTTCTTTTTTTCTTTGTTTTGTTTCTACCTATTTATAGGGGAGTAGAGGGAACCCTTTTCTTAGGTGTGCTGCCTGTACCATATACACACAACTATTTTCTTGTGGCACCTTAGCACTGATCCTATTCTGACTCTTTTACATAAACTATTTTGACACCTAGATCCCTGAAAGCCAGTGCTCTCCGATAATAAGGACTGTGGACTTAATAATTGTAAATGTCTAACCTAGGACAGTGAGAATCTGAAATGATGATTCTCTATAGTAGTAAAGTAAGGAGGGTAGTAATGTACAGCAACCTAAAGGTAAAAACCATAAAATAGTATCTGAGGATGTGGTAAAACATGTAGGCCAGATCGTGGACCCAAGTAATAGAGTAACCTACCCAAATTGCTAGACACCAGGTGCAAATTTGGCAAATGCTGCCACGAATTGATAAACACATCGTGATTTGAAACAGGCTGGCCAGGTAGTGTCACCTAGAAATGACAATCTTGTTTGTGTTAATCAAATAGAAGGTTTTAGTATAAATTTAAAAATAAACTTCCCTTCTTATCCACAAAATTACAACATGCAAAATTCAAATTTAAACTGTAATATTGTCCGTCACCAGTAGAGGGCCTTAACCTAAAATTAGTCAAATATACTGTACATTTAATTCGTATCTATTCATGTAGTTGCTGGATTTAGATATTACAGACAATCGCTAGGAATCGTGCAAACATCCTATGCTTTAAATAGGTGTTCGTGCATTTACAGTCAGGTAAGCAGAACCAGACGGACAGGAGCCAGGAACCAGGACCACAAGGACAAAGGTAAGAAACAGCAAGATGGCGACTTGTGAGTGACCGGAAGTAGTCACACTCAACTCGCCAGACCAATAACGGTATGTGAGAGAGGATTGGAGGCCCTTAGATAGGGGACCCAAGCCCCTCCCACAACTACAGGCCCAGCCTTAAATATATATATATATATATATATATATATATATATATATAAATCCAAAGAGGTTATGGTGGGGAAAAAATTGTGATTGAAAACCTCTTCCACCTGAAGTCTGTGGATAGTTAATACAATGTTAAACAAAAATCTGCACACCAGTCAAGCCAAAAGACTTGCTTTTCCCACAGAAATCCCAAATCTGCAGTGATGTTACAACCGCAAAGGATTCTGGGTGGGCATATGCAAATTAGTTTAACAAAGAATCACATTTTTGCCTCATTCCATTTTAAACATGGATTCCTTTTAATCTGTGTTTGCAGTGTACAACTGCTTGGAACACAATTTAGGAAAAGATGCAAAACCAGTGAACCACTCATGGACAGCTGTTTCATTGTTAATGCAACTCATCAGCATGAGTTTGGTTACTGGTTTGCTTATTGAGGCTTGGTAGTACTTGGGAAGCAAAATCCAAATAGGTTATGGTGGGGAAAAAATTGTGATTGAAAACCCCTTCCAGAGTATTGCTTCAAACCGGAAGAAGAGAGGAAAACTCTCAAAAGCTTGTCTCTGAAATATTATGTTAGTCCAATAAAAAAAAGGTATCATCGCATACTGCAATACTCTGGTATTTTGGTATCTTGTATTTATATATATATATATATATATATATATATATATATTACAGTATCTCACAAAAGTGAGTACACCACTCAAATTTTGGTAAATATTTTATTATAACTTTTCATGTGACAACACTGAAGAAATGACACTCTGCTACAATATAAAGTACTAAGTGTACAGCCTGTATAACAGTGTAAAGTTGCTGTCTCCTCAAAATAACTCAACACACCACCATTAATGTCTAAACCGTTGGCAACAATAGTGAGTACACCCCTAAGTGGAAATGTCCAAATTGGGCCCAATTAGCCATTTCCTCTCCCCAGTGTCATGTAACTTGTTAGTGTTACAAGGTCTGAGGTGTGAATGGGGAGCAGGTGTGTTAAATTTGGTGTTATTGCTCTCACACTCTCTCATACTGGTCGCTGGAAGTTTAACATGGCACCTCATGGCAAAGAACTCTGAGGATCTGAAAAAAACGAATTGTTGCTCTACATAAAGATGGCCTTGGCTATAAGAAGATTGCCAAGACCCTGAAACTGAGCTGCAGCACGATGGGCAAGACCATACAGCGGTTTCACAGGACAGGTTTAGTTTCTGGCTTGTCTGCAACAGCAACATTGTGGGGTAGGGTACAATTTATGGTGCTTAGTAGGTACCAGATACCACCTTCATAATGTTTTATAATGCTGCTTAATGTGGGCAAAGGATTTAATCCATCTTTTTGGTAAATTGATTATATAATCCCATTATTTAGGGGGGATCTTGCAGCCTAAATCAGTTTCCCATTGTTTTGCTATTGTGATAGTGTGGAATGAAATATGTTGTGAGAGGAGTTTGTAACACATGGAAATCAGTTTAAAGCGGCGCTGTCACTTGTCATGCCAAACTTACCTTTCCCCAATCGCTTTCTCTTCTCTCCCTCTATTTAGGATCTGTTCTTCTTTCCTGATTTAGTTTTCTTTAAAACATAAGACAAAAACTATTTTGTCTTGTGTATTTTCCCTACATGAGTGGCGGGTGGGGGCTTACAATGACGACCTATTTCTCCCACCCCCCGCCACTCATGGATGGGGGCCCTAAATGACTACGGTGGGGGATCTATTGTCCTCCCCCAGCAGCCACCCATGGGCGACAGGTGGGGGGCCTTAGATATACATTAGGGGGATGGACCTACTGTTTCCCCCTGGCCCCCACCCCTGAGTGGCGGGTGGGGGCTGTCAGGGTATTTATATCGGCAGACATCTTGTGCTATGATAGAAATTAAAAGTGTATATTCTGAGTCACTCTGAACAGAGCAGACTCCATTTTGTTATTTCCAAGTTAACAAAAAGACACAAGATTTCTTTCTGTAAGACTAGCCACTTTGCCAGAGCTAAAGGAATGCATAGTATAAACAAGTGATAAGAACGGGGGTTGGACAGACTGTCTAATGCTAATGGAATAGATTAATTCTAAACCCAGACATTTGTGACAGAGAAGATTAAATAATTTAAAATTTAACTGTCTATACATACAAGGTACCATTGTAAGTTACGGGTCAAAACTCAGATTGCCAGACACACAGTCTGGACAAAACTTAAATAAACCCTTTGATCTGAAAGGATACGTAAGTTATAGTG